ACATCTTTTTTTCTAACTTGAGAAAGAAAGCATGCAATGCCGGGGTAGATCTCAGGATCCTCCCCACAAGAGGAAGGGTTTAAATAGTTTTTCCAGTTATCAAAATACAGAACTTCCTTGTTGTGTATCACTTTGTCAAAGAGCTCAGAAGTAACTAGTTATCATAGCCAGTTACTTGCAGTTGATTCCTTTCCCCCAATAACAAAGATGAAATTGCATTCCATTACAAATTACAATCATTAACAGGGGATAATGATCCTCCTTTAGCAATGTAACATTTCAGTTACTTCTGTGGCCCAATAAACAGCAGACAAGGAAAGTAATATGGTTCAACTGATGCATTGTGCTGTGCTTTGTGTAGCTGCATTGTGCTCTGTCGTGGGTGTTGAGATGACAACAAGGTGGGCAGGAAGAGAATGTGTTTTGTAACACAGCAATTTGTAGCACCCATAATATGAAAGCATTAAAGTAACTAAATAGAACTATTTAATTACTTTGGATAAACAGAATTTAAGGGTGCAGTTATACTGCTGATCTGTATCAGTTTCAGCTCTGATGTATTTTGAAGTGATTTTCCATCACATAGTCTTTGTATCCCCATGCACATTCACTTTGAAAATTATTATTCCAATATAAAGTAGGGGTTAAAATTGCTTCAGGATATAACACATGAGATTTTAAATTGTTTCATTAACCCACATGTTTATAGTCTCCAATGAGGCTGATCCCTGGTGCATCGCCAATGATTGCAACCTCCTCTTTCCTGTTTTCAATAGTGTCCATAATTTTTTGTTTTGTTTTCAGGCACCCTTTGGAATGTATGCATTTCTTCTCTCTCTCTCTCTCTCTCAAATCAGTTTTAAAAGACATAGTGGCATAGTGACATTACTTCAGAAACCCACAACCACCTATGAAGGCACGATTTAATATGACAGGGATGTTCACATTGCCAAAAGTGAATCATAAAGAATTGATTTCACGGGCTTCACTATGCATCATGTGGTCAGGATATTTAAAATTGATTTTAATTATTCAAAACATGATTCAAAAGTAGTTCTTATTGTCAGTGCAGCCACACCCTAAGTTATTTTTAAAAATTGTCGTTGTTGTTTAGTCGTTTAGTCGTGTGCGACTCTTCGTGACCCCATGGACCAGAGCACGCCAGGCCCTCCTATCTTCCACTGCCTCCCGGAGTTCTGTCAATTTCATGTTGGTTGCTTCGCAGACACTGTCCAGCCATCTCATCCTCTGTCGTCCCCGTCTCCTCTTGCCGTCACACTTTCCTAACATCAAGGTCTTTTCCAAGGAGTCTTCTCTTCTCATGAGATGGCCAAAGTACTGGAGCCTCAACTTCAGGATCTGTCCTTCCAGTGAGCACTCAGGGTTGATTTCCTTCAAAATGGATAGGTTTGTTCTCCTTGCAGTCCAGGGGACTCTCAAGAGTCTCCTCCAGCACCACAGTTCAAAGGCATCAGTTCTTCGGCGGTCTGCTTTCTTTATGGTCCAGCTCTCACTTCCATACATCACGACAGGAAAAACCATAGCTTTGACTATTCGGACTTTTGTTGGCAAGGTGATGTCTCTGCTTTTTAAGATGCTGTCGAGGTTTGTCATCGCTTTCCTCCCAAGAAGCAGGCATCTTATAATTTCGTGGCTGCTGTCTCCATCTGCAGTGATCATGGAGCCCAAGAAAGTAAAATCTGTCACTGCCTCCATATCTTCCCCTTCTATTTGCCAGGAGGTGATGGGACCAGTGACCATTATCTTAGTTCTTTTGATGTTGAGTTTCAGGCCGTTTTTTGCACTCTCCTCTTTCACCCTCATTACAAGGTTCTTTAATTCCTCTTCACTTTCTGCCATCAGAGTGGTATCATCTGCATATCTGAGATTGTTGATATTTCTTCCGGCAATCTTAATTCCGGCTTGGGATTCCTCCAGTCAAGCCTTCCGCATGATGTATTCTGCATATAAGTTAAATAAGCCGGGGGACAATATACAGCCTTGTCGTACTCCTTTCCCAATTTTGAACCAATCAGTTGTTCCATATCCAGTTCTAACTGTTGCTTCCTGTCCCACATATAGGTTTCTCAGGAGATAGACAAGGTGGTCAGGCATTCCCATTTCTTTAAGGACTTGCCATAGCTTGCTGTGGTCCACACAGTCAAAGGCTTTTTTTAAAAAAAATTGTACTAAATGGCAACTGTGATAGTGTGGTTAGGAATTACAACTTTAAATAATTTGTTAAAAAAAATAACTTCCCAACCTCTGGCTTTTCACCTCTTCTTATGATTCATAAGGGACAAAATCTGGCAAAGTAAACACATGTATGATCCATACATGTAAGATAATTCAGCTTTTTGGAGAAGGGCACAGAATTTGCCATTGGAAATGACAGACAGCCTTGCAGATCACTGTGGTTGTTAGCTCCAGCTTGCAAAGGGATTCCTTGATGGCTTTCTCAGGTCATTACCAAAGCCGTTGATTTTACAATAAGGAACGTATGTATTCCATACCTTTCCACACACCACCGGCAATAGCTCTGCGGTTCTATTATTATTATTATTATTAGTTTTTCTATCACATGAACTTCTGGATAGCTCAGTGACTTAGGTCTCTGCTATGTAGCCACAGGTTGGGAGTTCAGTTCCACACTGTGCTTCCTTGACAGAGGCTGGACTCGATGATCCATAGGGTCCCTTCCAGTTCTACAATTCAAAGGTTATAATTATTATCAATTCTGAGAAAAAGTTGAAACAGATACAAAATTTGCCAGAGGTTATGTTAATCTCTTTGAACTCACTACAGCCTTGCTTTGATCTTGAATACCTGAAGTGATCATAAAGGTGGATTTTAGTAAGAATGAAAGAAGGAGCCTGATAGATCACATGAAAATGCCCATTCTCTTAGCCTTCATAAGAGACCAGCTGAATTCTCCTTGGAAGCATATGGGCAGGGTAAAATGCATGTCTGTTCCCCAGCACCAGAGGTTTATTGTCAATTAATACAATAGTTTTTCCCCCATAGTTTTATATATATATATTGGCCTACTCCTCTCAGAATCTGGCATGGACAATATTTCTGTTTTAGATACCTTGACTAATACCTGTTGATAGACCTCCCTTTCGCCATGAATTTGCCCAATCCTTTTTTTCTCTAAACGAGTGGCTATTGATTCTATGTGGGGCTACCTTTGAGGCTGATGTGGAAACTCCAAGTAGTGCAGAATGCAGTGGTCAGACTCCTTAGTGGAGTGAGAAAATACCATCATATCTCACCTACTCTGGCCGCACTACATTGGCTGCCCATTCAGTTCCGCATTGACTGCAAAGTGTTGATGCTTACATATAAAGCCCTAAACGGTTTAGGGCCTCAATATTTGACAGAATGCCTTCTCCCACCAAGAGCTACCCGGATCACTCGATCAAGGTGAGGCTGAGGAGCCTGATGCTGTGGGAGGCCCAAAAGGAAAAAAAAAAGAAATTGGGCCTTCTTGGCGGTGGCTCCTCACCTCTGGAACAACTTGTCTCCAGAGATTTGTGAGGCCCCGTCGCTGGGTATTTTTAAGACCCATCTAAAAATGTGGATGTTTAAGCAGGCCTTCCCTCCAGATAACACTTAATCTTTCTTTCTTTATCTATTCTTTGTTATTTTTGCCATCTTGAAGAATTTGCTTATTGTTTATTCCTTATTGTTCATTGTTTAATGTCTGTTCCTGTATATTTTTTATTTTTTGTTATATGTATATGTTATTGTATTTTTACCTGTCTGGAAGCCGCCTAGAGTGGTCGTATTGACCAGATAGGCGGGGTACAAATAGAATGAATGAATGAATGAATGAATGAATGAATGAATGAATGAATGAATGAATGAATGAATGAATAAATAAATAAATAAATAAATAAATAAATAAGATTCTTGTTTAGAAAATGGATTTTATATTATGGTGTATGAAGGAGTATGGTACTTATAAACCAGTGTTTGCCAACATGGAGATCATGACCCCCAAGGGAAATCACAAGTTGCTTTATATGTGTTGTAGCACTTTTTAAATAATTGCTACCTTGGTTTTTTGGGACCGTATAGTAAATTTAGCATGTATGTGTATGTATGAGAAACAGGCCATTTGTGGTAGAAAGAAGCCTCTATTTTATGAGAAGGAATGATTTTACCCCATTTAAAAATGCCTTTTTATGCAGACATAGTGGTGGTGGTGTCACGGGTTATTTGGCTATCATAAAAGGGGGTCACAACTTGAAAAAGTTTATGAACCACTGTTTTAGATGATGCTTTTATTATTCAGTGGCTGAAATCCAGTAGTGTAAGTGATGTCATGCCAGACTGATGATGTCCTGGAAGTTTATGGGAAATTAAAAATGTCTAATCCCTCATGGGATCCCCTTGGGATCCCTTTCATCATGGGGAAACCATGGTGGGGCTATGGGAACCAATAAAATCACCCCGCTGGCAGCAATTTTTGAAAAGTAAAGACTGCTCATCTCACAGCCCCCAAGGGCCTCCCCACAATGAAAAGGATCTAAAGGGATTCTTTTCAGTGTAAGGAAGAGGATCAGACATGCTTAACATCCAAAAAACACACAAAACTGATGACATTGTTAACCTTACATGGCGTAAGTTAAAGCAACAGGATTTCAGCCACTGAATCTTACAAGATACAGTATCCAGGTAATTTAACCTTCCACTTTTTACCTTTCCTATTTTGTTTAATCACTTCTACCATCATATTTCTTTCTGGGGAAAAAAGAAAATCTGTTAATAAGGAGAAGACAGAATCCTTGTATAATGTGTTTTCGACTGTTAGTGTTGAGGGCTGTTCATGTGGAAACATGTGTAGTTTCATTTGGCAGATGTGGCCCACATCTTCATGGATGATTCGTTTGTCAATAATAAAAGTAGCCTTTTTGAGGGATGCAGGGATTGTTGCCTGGAATAGAACTTCTCTAAATGTTGCAATGGTGACTCTGTTGTCTGTTGGACTTTAGGAAGAAAAGAATGGGCAAGATACTCCACAGAACGTTATGTGGGCTGCTTCTGTTGTCACTTCTTTATAGCTTCAGTCAAGGAAGCACAGGTACGTTCAGCATATGTTCTCTGTTTCTCCTTTCTTTATTCTTACATACTGCTAAGATAGGCCATTGTTTTCAAGTAATTGGTAGGTACACCATGGGGGAGGGGGCAACACTCTGCAAGAAAAGTAGCAACGTAATCACATCATACTGCAAGGTGGGACAATCTCTTCCCTCCTTCTTTTGTAGATCATCTTTGTGGGCAGGAGCCATACCTATTTATTTTTGCTAGCTGGAAAGTTTTATATAAAACAACAATACAACACATATTGAATAGGTGTTGCAGACAGGACTTGTGTTTTAACATTCAGACGTGTTCAGCTTTGATTTTATACCCTAGGACAGTGGCTGGAACTCTACTAGTAGTACTATGTAAGTCAGGTTGTACAGAGCAGCCTTCCCCAACCTGATCTCTTCCAAGTGTTTTGGGCTACAGCTTCCATTATCCCCAGCAAGCCTGGTGCTAGCAGGATGATAGGAACTGTAGTTCCATGCATCTAGAGGTCAATGTGGTCAGGTCAGCAAAGGCTGCTTGATATTGAGCTTGCATATACAGTGGTGCCTTGCTTAACGATTACCTCGTTAAACAATGAATCCGCTTTACGATGAGGTTTTTGTGATAGCAATAGCGACCGCAAAACGATGTTTAGATAGGGAAATTTTGCTTGATGATGATCGGTTCCCTGCTTCAGGAACTGATTTTTCGCTAGACAATGATTTTTAAAACATCTGATCGGCAGCTCTAAAATGGCCGCCCGCTGTGCAAAATGGCTCCCCGCTGTGCTTTAGGATGGATTCCTCACTTTACAGGCACCAAAAATGGCCGCCCCTATGGAACATCTTCGCTGGATGCTGAGGTATTTAGCCCATTGGAACGCCTTGAACCGTTTTTCATTGCATTTCCATGGGCTTTTTCGTTTCACTTGACGAGGATTTCGCTTAACAGCGATTTCAACGGAACGAATTATCCTCGTCAAGAGAGGCATCACTGTACTTGTTTTAGAGATCAGTGGCTGCAACACTAAGTGATACTTACAGGTCAAAGAGATACTTATATTCTGCTTCTGTCACATGTTTTACTCGTAAATGGACCTTACCTGCACTGAACTTTAGAGGAAGGACTTTCACATTGAATGTACCTACTTAATTCCCTTCCGATACATTCTTTCTGAGTTATCTAATTCTGGCTAGAATTACATATTGTAAATAACTTGTACACTTTTGACTGTGAGTTACCTGCAAACCGGAGCAAATCTGCTCCTATCACATGTCCTCTTTTCATGAGGCAAAAACAGAGCCACTCCCTGCCCTCTGCCCCAGCAAGAACAATGCTAGCCAGCCAGTGCTGAGGGAGCTGGGATGATTCCCAGCACTGGCCGCCTGGCGATGTTGTTCATGCCCAGGGGATTAGCTTCAATGGCTTTGTTTCCACTACACATAGAGATGATTAGGAATTTGCTTCCCTTCCTTCTCTGCGGAGCTTGCTTGTTTGGCAGGTGGTTGGATGATGGCAGCTGGGGAGCTCCTTGGCGGCAGAGGCACCAGCAGCAGTGGGAGTCTCCTCCACCATCAAAGACATACAGAGAGAGAAAGAGAGAGAGAGAGAGAGAGAGAGTTTAGCCACCACACTCGCAGCGGCTGTCATCCAACCACCCACCAGAGAGGCCAGCCCTGCAAAGAAGGAGAGGCTCTTTCACTTGGCCGAAGCCCTACTGAGCTTTAAAATGGCACCCAATACACGTTATTTTAAAAAGTGGTAGAGCTTACGAAAGTCGCTTCAAATTTCTTTCTCCCACCTGTGTAGTTCTGGCTGTGATGTGAACTCAGAGCAAAAAGAAATGCCATGTAGGCAAAAAAAGATTAGTTGCACTTCTTCCTGATGCAGAGTGTCTTCTTGGGCTATAGTGTGTGCACAACTTTTTCTGTCCCTGTTACGTATGTAGCCGATGATCTACATTACACTGTGGATTATAAATTTCTGCACCACAGAAGGGTGGTGAAAAGCATCAAATGCAATGAGAATAGGAACTGATTTTATCTCAAATGTAGGGAACAGTTTGTCCTCCAGATGTTCCTGGGCTGACAGTCTTATCATCTGTCATCAGTGACTATGAGGGCTAGAGCTGATAGGAGCTGCTGTTGAGCAACATCTGGACACATTCCTCATCCCTGGCTTATATCTTATTTGTCTTTTTTTCTGTCTCCATTCTTAGAGAAACCTGGTTTTCTGCATTTCTAAAAATGTTCTCTTGTTTCCTAGATAATCGCTGCACCGCTTCCATGGCGAAAAGCTGTACTGAATGTATAAGAGTTAGCAAGGACTGCTCTTATTGTATTGATGAGGTAGGAGCTTCACACAAGTGTTGAATCATATGCATCTCAAAGTACCAAACTTTTAAGGAGAAAGGTGGAGTAAAAATATTTTAAATAAACAAACTTCAGCAAAGATTTGGTTATAGTCCTTGAGGTACATTCCCTTTCAATATTATTTTTTACTATATGGTCAATCCCACTGTGTTCTTGGCTACATTGGTCTTCTGCCCTTAAGGTCTTTCCCACTCTGCTAAGCTTGCATTCCTTTGGACAGAGATCCTGTTCATCCTTCGCTTGATCCCCCTTGCTTCTGAATGTCCAGCATACTGGCCTCTATGGGAATACAACGACCCAACAGCAGCCAGTATATTTTCTCAAAACTCTAACTATTCTCATAGATACACAGTGTTTGGGGACTCTAAGCTATGGCTACAAGAAACTAAAAGCTAGAATTTATCCAGGGATCATTGCATCATGCCTCAAGCTGATGCTGAGTCTAATTAACTCAAGATACATGCGTTTTAGTCTGTATTTGCTAAGGATGGGTTGTTCTTGTCCATATTGTTTTGTCCCAGGAGTTCAAAAAGGCTCGCTGTGATTTCAAAGACAACCTAGAGAGACATGGCTGCAGTGAGAAGAGCATAGTATTTATGAAAGGAGAAATGTTAACAATTGAGGTAAGTGGAGGGATGGTCAAGAATGGTCGGCTATGAATGTATTAAAAAAAAATAAGATCAAATAACCATCCAGGTCTGCCAAAAGCAGAGTTTGACTGTTTGGAAAAAAAATTGTTGAGCTGGTTCTTCCAAGAGGAGAGCTTTATAATAGGCAGTCTATGCACTTCCTGTGAACATGTGTTGATATAGGTGCGGGAATGCTGCATACTCAGTGTGTCTGTCTCCCTGTTAAAACAAGCATGAAAGACTGCTCAATCTCCCCAAGTTCTCTCTATTTGCATGTGAATGGTTTCTTCTCCGGCAGGAGTTTTACATTGATACATCCCTGAAGAAAACCCAGGTGTCTCCACAGAAAATGAAACTGAGGCTGAGAGCTGGTGAGGAGTCGAATTTTAACATGGCCGTGTTTGAGCCCCTTGAATCTCCTGTGGACCTCTACATTCTCATGGACTTTTCCTACTCAATGTCTGATGACTTGAACAACCTTAAAAAAATGGGCCAGCAACTGGGTGAGGACTGATAATCTGTAAGGTTATGTTCTGTTAATTCTGTAAACCCTGAGAGCATTTAGCAAAGGGCTGCTAATTAGGCGTGGTGGGATGTGGTGGCACTGCGGGCTAAACCGCAGAAGCCTTTGTGTGCTGCAGGGTCAGAAGACCAGCAGTCGTAAGATTGAATCCACGTGACGGAGTGAGCTCCCGTCGCTTTGTCCCAGCTCCTCGCCAACCTTGCAGTTCGAAAGCATGTAAATGCGAGTAGATAAATAGGTACCATCTCAGTGGGAAGGTAAACAGCGTTCCGAGTCTAAGTCGCACTGGCCAAGTGACCATGGAAACTGTCTTCGGACATAACGCTGGCTCTACGGCTTGGAAACGGGGATGAGCACTGCCCCCTAGAGTCGAACACAACTGACTAAAATGTCAAGGGGAACCTTTACCTTTACCTAGAAAAGGGAGGAAGTCCAAGGTATGTTTTTTCTCTGACTGCCAACAGCTTCTTGCTTGCTTGCTTTGCCCAGCATACAAAATGAGAAATCTCTACTATCTTACCTGTATTTCCTTTCATCCATGATTCTTTTCCTGCCATCGCTTCTCAGAAATCTTGACTGTGCTTCACCCATATGCATCAGTAACAGACAGGGAATATTTTAAAAGGCAAGTTTCTGTCTACGTGACACCAGAATGCCTCTACAGTTTTATCATCATAAGACTGATGTTTCAGCATCAGTGGTTGGGATCCTGTTCAGCAGCAGTGGAGCACAGTGCTTGATAAGTCGGCTATCAGGGGATTTCATGCTTGCACACGCATTGCCTTTACACAAGTGAATATCTGAGGAGTGGCCCAAACTCTCCTGCTGGCTGAGGCAAGAGGAAAAGTGCCACTCCCCACAGTGCACAGGGAAGTGCTGCTGCCTTCCACATACAAACCCATTCTGCTACAACACACTACAATAATACAGGTAGATACAGGCTAAGAACAATGAGACATGTTCCATGCCAACCTGCAAACCCTTTATCCTCACAGAAGGCGATGGGGAGAGTGGTGCCTCCATGCCCTCCCTTTGACATAGGATGAGGTGGTAGAAAGAGAGAAAAGACAGTGGTAACGGAGCCAGTGGTGGCAGCACTCCAGCCCAGCACCACAGAGAAGAGAATGGGAACAGGCAGCTGCCTGGCCACTTCCAAAGAGAGCGGCAACCCTGAATGCTGGCTCTTTCAAGAGGGCCTGCCTCTGAGCAGTCCCCACAATCAAGGCACCGAGGGACATGCCCTAGAAAAATCACTTGGGCTGCAGTTTTATTAGCCTCTGTGGAAGCTAACGAAAAGAGAAAAGGAGGTGGCCCAGACAGTTTTCTTGCAGATCTCTCTCCTCCCCTCTCTCCCCCCCGCCCCGTGCATGTGGGGTATGAGAAATAGGCAGTAACTGAGCAGTTGCCCTTTCTAAAAGCAGGTCAGGTGGCCGCCTCCTGCCTGTTCATTTACCTCCTCTGGTGTGCTAGGCAGAGCCTCTGCCACAGCCCTCATCCACCCAATTTTTCTTTGTGTTTCTTCCCTTTAATACTGTGGAGCAAACACAGGGTGTGGATGGCCCAGAACTGTAGGGGAAGGTAGCTTGAGGGTGGTGCTCTATTACTTCTTTTTTCCCCCTTCTCTCTCTACTAGCAAGCTCTCCAGAGCAGCATGGCTCTCCCAGGGCAGCAGTGAGAGCAGTACTTTTGCTTCCCCCAGCTCTTTGCTGCTGATGGTGATGATCTCATCAGGCCTAGTGACAGAACCATCCCTGGGAAACTCCATTTGGAAATACCTGACCAAGGCTTGTGCAAGGAAGTCTTGGATGATACCTTGTGCAAATGTTGTAAACAAAGTCAAACTGCTGGCCCTACAGTAATTGACGGAAGAGTTTCCTGGCCTTCAGGTTTATGCGGTATCATCATTGCACTCTGCACTTTGCAAAATAGTAATCTAAAGGGGAAATAAATATTAGGGTCTTTCACTGATGTCCCAAGCCTGACACCGGGAAAATGGCACCTCCTGCTACCCTGTCCTTGTGTCAGATGATGGGCCATTGAAGGTTCCTGCTTCACACTTAAATCCTTAATTTTGGTAGAGCAGGGGGATTAAAGACTAGAGAAAGAGAAGGATGGAGAGATAAAGATGTCAAGGAATAAAAGCAGGAGTTTTAATTTGCCTGTGTAGCGTGAAGTTTGAAATAGAGAAAGAGAAGGATGGAGAGATAAAGATGTCAAGGAGTTTTAATTTTCCTGTGTAGCGTGAAGTTTGAAGAAGCTGTTCTGCTAAAAGATTTGGTTTATTCAGATTCACGTCCTGTCACTGGAGGCTAGATGTTCTGACAGGCCTCACGATGAGAAACTGTTTGGAACAGTGCTCTTAGCCCAGTCGGAGCAGAGCATCCTCCTCACGAAGGATGGAGAGATAAAGATGTCAAGGAGTTTTAATTTTCCTGTGTAGCGTGAAGTTTGAAGAAGCTGTTCTGCTAAAAGATTTGGTTTATTCAGATTCACGTCCTGTCACTGGAGGCTAGATGTTCTGACAGGCCTCACGATGAGAAACTGTTTGGAACAGTGCTCTTAGCCCAGTCGGAGCAGAGCATCCTCCTCACTCCTTTCCTTTTCTTCTCTTGCCAGCAAACTTCTTGACAGATCTGACTGATGACTATACAATTGGATTTGGCAAGTTTGTGGATAAAGTAACAACTCCACAGACAGACATGCGGCCTGAGCGGTAAGTGAGGGTGACAGAACTATTGGATACACTTGGGAATGACCAGGTGTTTTTTAAAAAATGTTTTTATTAGGTATATTTAAAAGGTGTGAAAAAAAAGACTCTAGTCATGTAGATCGAGGGAATACGCTACAGCTGTATAGCAGATAATTTTAAGTATCAAAGGCATCAAAGTACAAATCCCAGGATTCTATAGGATGGACTTCAAATGGAACATAAGGCCCAAACCTCTTCTAATAATCAGGTTACTTCCCTCAAGAAAAATGGGGAATATTCACATATAACTTTATATGGCAAGCTCCTTCTGTAAAAATATGATGCTAGACAGAGTAGGTTTTGAAGAAAAATTATTTCCATCTACTGCAATTGTGTAGTGCACCTGTACTCAGACAGTTTTTTTCTAACTTGCTGTTGGAGTATCTGGCTACACCCCAAATAGTGCTATCTATTAATATTCGTTACATTAATGTATGACTGAACTCTGTGTCTGTCACTTTATTTAATACTCTATGACTAACTTTCTGTAGCTGGTGGTATAAACTTTATGGCAGACGACTATAATCTTTCCAGTTTAGAGACACACAATATGGCCTATATGATCTTTTCATTTTCAGATTGCGTGAACCCTGGACAGACGCTGACCCTCCATTCTCCTTTAAGAATGTCATCCGCTTAACTCATGATATCGATAAATTCAGTAATGAATTAATTAAGGAGCGTATTTCGGGCAATCTGGATTCCCCAGAAGGTGGATTTGACGCAATATTACAAACTGCTGTTTGCAGGGTGAGTAAAGAGCATGCTGAAAAGGGCAGTTCAGTGAGAATTTGTTGAATATGAGCCTTTGAAACCACTCATCAAGCTCTGAGTTCAGTAGAAAAATCTAGGTCAACCCTTTGCTTTAACGAGCAACAGACAGAATTGCTGGTGTTTTGCTAAACGGGTGGATGATGAGCTTTAGTATCAAGTTATCATTACTGGTTCACAGGCAGACATGTGATATCATTTTTAATAGTAGCTGAAGTTCATACAAAGGCTAAATAGAAGCCCAGTGCCTTAGAATGGTAAGAAATTCAGGGAGCTTAATCTCTTAGCTGTTGACAAGGTAAGGACTTTGTCAACAGCTAAGAGATAAGAGCTGAAGAGACAAGATAAGGAAGGAGTGCCCAGACATTGTAAACATCAGCACAAAAGCAATTGATGATTGAACCTCAACTTAGGGCTCGATCAGATGGACATTTGTCTCACTGTTTGGTGTGTTGTGGGGGTAATTGGTTTGCTCTTCTTTCTGATGATCAGATGACTTAATTGCTAGAGCAAACCAATCTGTCTCCTGAGTGCCTCTACCAGCACCTTGCCTTGACTCTTTGCAGAGGAGCAGGGAATGTGTTAAATTTGCCAGTATCCTGAAGTGGCTCATTTCTTAAGCCATTTCCCAATACAGAAAATTGTCAGAGAATGCATCTGGACTAAATAGGGTTGCTTAAGGTCAGCATGTCATTTGGATATGAAGATCACACCAAATCACTGCTCCCCACAACCTTAAGCAATTCTGTTTAGATTCCAAAAGAGGCAGTTTATTCACCACCTAACTCTGGGCTGGACTGCACCCAGAAGTGATATCCAATGGCTGTGTGTTTTGAAAGACACTTCTGAAGGAATGGTTACCACAGGAACCACAGCTGCAATAGCCATAGTACCTTGCTCAGAAGTCATATAACAACAACAACAACAACAACAACAACAACAACAACAACAACAACAACTTTCCAGCCTCCAAAAACCCATGGGAACATCGGGCAGAGAAGGTGTCAGAAAATTAGGAAGTCAAACTCTTGTGAGATTTCCGGATCCAAATTGACAGCCACTTTGAACATAATACACCAGACACAGTAGTCATAGAACGAAGAAATGTCTGGATCATTGACATTGCAATTCCAGGGGATGCCAGAGTTGGAAATAAAGAACTGGAAAAACTAACAAAGTATAGAGACCTGGCAATGAAAACATCTCCCCTCTGGAAGAAACACACTTCAGTGATCCCAGTAGTCATTGGGGCTTTGGGAACAATAGCGAGAAATTTCACACAGTACTATAAGCAGTTGCAGATCTCAGATATCACATCACCGTCAGAGCTACAAAAAACGACAAATTAGGAACAGCATACATACTGCGTTGATTTTTAACAGATACTTAGGTTTTTGGTTAAAATTTGTATCTGTTATATAATACCAGTCAATGTTTTATAATTTTGACTGTGCCTGGAGTTTTGTAATGATGATGATGATGATGATGATGATGATGATGATGAACAACATCTTCTAGCCAATCTGCTTCATTCTTCCAAATAAATTAATTTGCTCCACACCTTCGTCTTTCCTTATATCCATAGGATCATATTGGATGGCGGAATGACAGTACTCATCTTCTGGTGTTTTCCACTGAGTCTGCCTTCCATTATGAAGCTGATGGTGCCAATGTCCTTGCGGGAATTCTGAGGAGGAATGATGAAGAGTGCCATCTGAACCGAGCAGGCACTTACACCTTTGACACCAAGCAGGATTATCCCTCTGTGCCTAACCTTGTGAAACTGCTGGGAAAAAGCAACATCATCCCCATATTTGCTGTCACCAACCATTCTTACAGTTACTATGAGGTAAAAAGGACTGGTGAATAGGAAGGGAATGGAGCACTTTGAGGGTTTAAGGGGAGCAATTTGTTGTAGGGTTTTCAACCATTGATAATTAATTGTCTGGCAAGGGCCCCAAATCAGCTGTTTGATTCTGAGTGAGATGCTTATTCTGTTCATCCAGGGAGAAATGGGCTAGACTTTCTCTGAAACAGGAGAGTTTGTTGTGTGGTGCTAAGAAATGTTTGAGTGTGTTTGAGCATCATCTCATGTTTTCAGCACCTCTATCATTTTTTATTTAAGTAGTAGTGACACCGAAGCATTTCACCTTCTGTAACATTTTGCTTGCTTCAGTGTCTCGGAGTGTTTCACTCAGTATACAGTGTCATTCCCTGCTTCATTCTGGGTCTTTGCTTTGTGTTAACACTATAATATGGGTATGGAGTAATCATTTGGCAATATGGTGATTTAGTGAGTGTGTAAAGGTAGGGAAAAGGGACATGGTGGTGCTGAGGGTTAAACCGCAGAAGCCTTTGTGCTGCAAGGTCAGCAGACCAGCCATTGTAAGATCGAATCCACGCAATGAAGTGAGCTCCTGTCGCTTGTCCCAGCTCCTGCCAACCTAGCAGTTCAAAAGCATGTAAATGTGAGTTGATAAATAGGTACCATAGGGAAGGTAATGGCGTTCCGTGTCTAGTCGCGCTGGCCACGTGAACACAGAAACTGTCTACGAACAAACGCTGGCTCTACGGCTTGGAGATGGGGATGAGCACCATGCCCTAGAGTTGGACACAACTGGATTAAATGTCAAGGGGAACTTTTACCTTTACCTAAAGATAGGAAGCAGATTATTTCAGACCTACAGTATATCCTCACCCAATAACTCACTAATGAAAGATCTTTGTTTCTGTTCTCACCAAACCATTGTCCAGTCTTCTTTCGTAATGCAGTGGGGACACCCAGTGGCTGGCTAAGAAAGCCCATTCAGGGATAACTGATAATTCGTTCACATAAGGGATTTTTACCTGCAAATGGGCTAAAAGACATGTTACACCAGGAGATCCATGACTGACATCCAGACTGTTATTTCCCAAGAACCTAGGAAGAGGTCCACAATATCACCCTAAGATCCATCCAGTCTAGCACCCAGTTTTCAACAGTGGCCATCCAGATGTTCCTAAGAAGCTGACATGAAGAAAAACAGAGTCCAGAAATCTACTTGTTAGTTATGCTGGTGCACTTAACATAAATTGCAGGAGCAAATCACTGCCAGTTAACCAGCTATTACAGAAATTTACATGACTGGCACACAGTGAGAATGGAACAAGCAGGAACTGGTTAATTAGTGGAAAATACCACAGACGTTCATGCCAGCATAATTAATCAGTAGGATTTTGGCCAATATGAAGAACTTTTTTCCATGGCCTGTTTCAAATCTGTTTCCATTCGGGCTTTTATTGGATGAGCCGCACTGGCCCCCAACCTTGGGCCTCCAGATGTTCTTGGACTACAACTCCCAGAAGCCTTCACCACCACCTCTGCCGAGATCTTTGGGAATTGAAGTCTAGGAACATCTGGAGGACCAAGGTTGGGTACCACTGAGCTAGAGTACTAGTGTTTTTATTTATTTGTTTGTTTGTTTGTTTGTTTGTTTGTTTGTTTGTATTTGATTTGATTTGATTTGATTTGATTTGATTTGATTTGATTTGATTTGATTTGATTTGATTTGATTTGATTTGATTTGATTTGATTTTTACCCCAACCCTCTAGACAATATCTACTGTTCTGGCAGAGTGAGGACCAGAGCTACATTGTGGTGTTAACTGTATGAATGCAGTATCTTTTTGTCATGTACATATCAGCTTTGGGGAAGTTTGAGCGGTGTTTGGACTGTAGTGGGTGAGGATTGGGAATTTAACTCTTTCTGTCCCTGCCACAGTTTTGACACAAATTGCCTCTTCAGAGATTCAGTTCTAGTTGGGATTCTGTCAGAGAAACAAAGAATTAAACTCCCCCTTGCCACCACTCATGGCCTTTCAACCTCCACCAAACCTTTCAGTCATTTTCAGTTTTCAAAAAAAGCATGGGCAGCACTAGGCCAAAGATGGTGGGAAATGAGGTGGGCATGTCTGTAAACTTACCACAGTTACCAGCCCCTGTTATACTCCAAGAACAATGTACTTGTTTAAAGCATTACAGAAGTATGGGTGAGGGAAGGGTTTGTTCACCTCTTCATTCTGGGCTAAGTCTCACTCTATTCAGTAGGGTCAGCTCTCAGCCAAGTAAGGCTGTATAGGATTGCAAGCTTATGTTGTAATGCAATTTAATATACTATGTTATGTGCTACTTTTTTAAAAAAACAGAAATTGCACACATATTTCCCGATCTCTGAAATTGGAAGACTGCAAGAAGATTCCTCTAATATTGTGGAGTTGATCCGTACAGCTTTTGAGGTAAGCAATGGCCTCTGATGTTAAAAGTAATGACCACTCTGGATCACCCAACATGCTTGTCACTCTATAAAGCCATAATTTGAGATGACATTTTATGAAACTACTAGTAGCCAATCACTCTGGAAATACCACCATTTCACTCCATGCTTTACACTAGCATGCGCTTAGGAATTTAAATATTCATGAACAGACTGGAGTTTGGAGTTGTAAAATCCATTAATATCTTCTTTTATATGAAAAAGAGGCTTTTTTTATCCACTTAGTGACCCTGCTCTAATTTATTTAAGAAGGCTAAGTTCTGACCCATACAATAGTTTTATGTGGATCCGTCGTGGATCCAGTAATTTCATGAAAGGATGTGCTGTGAATTGATTTTTCAAGCAGCCCAAATCTGCCTCTTCTTGAAAGAAACCTAAATGTGCCAAGAGTCAGCAGGTGTTTAGTACCTGGCAAGTGATCTGAAAAATCAAAAGGCATAGTTTGACATATCAGCTGTTACTATGTGGCAGATGTCTTGCCCAGTGCAAATAATGATATACAGACCTTAAAATAAGCCATTCATGACGCACTTGAGTGGGACAACAACTATCTGGAGAGCATAGTTGAACCTGATGCCCCCAGAACTCCCTTGGGAAGGGCTGGACCACTGCCGCCGCTGCCACATTTGCCACTGCCATAGCGTTGTCATAATCTGGCAGCTGCAACAGCAACAACTCTCTCTCTTGCAGGAGGGTGACATAATGCATTTCTGCTCTACAGAGTCTCACCAGTGTGAGGGGCCAGTGTGTTCTGAAAGGGAAGAGGGTAGGAGGGGGTGTTTTCTGTGTCAGCATTAGCAACAGCTTTCACGATTTCTTGGAGACAATGCAGAATTCAAAAATAGTCTGAATGAGGGCACTTGCAGCCTATAGACCACTACATGTTGCCCACTTCTGCTCTCAAGAGTTCTGGGATTTTTGTGAATCAACATAGCTGCGGTTGATGAGAATTAGCATTTGCATTGAATGAGATCCATTCCAATTCCATATATTCCCTCCCACATCTTCCAGCGTATTCGTTCCAAGATGGATGTTAGACCTTATAATATCCCCAAAGCCATGAAAATGGAAATAACATCCACAAAGTATGAAAAAACACAGTCTGGTTCATTCAACATTGTTCGTGGTGAAGTGGTAAGTCTTGCTGTTTGCAGTCCTGCCATGTCTTATGGGGAAGAGCCAGAAAGGCCCTGCATGAATAATGTGCCACTGACTACTTTTGTTTTTGAAAAGACATACAGGCTTTTGGAGAATGGAGGGGTGCTTCCTTTTTGTCTGGGAAAGAGCAAAGAATAAGTCTCATAACTTAAAGGAGTCTGCCCAAGTTTTTGTTGATATCCTTATCTTCGTATAAGAAGGAGGTGTGGCTTTAGCCTGAAAGGACAAAAGGGGATCTGCTGTTGATTCTGGAAATGAGTTTATGTCTTCTGATAGAGAACAGATATTAAGATTAATGTATATGCCTTCTGACTGACCCATTCTCCCTTCGCCAATGGAATATTCACAGAAATGCGTGTAGGATAAATGCAAGATCCATAGTTGATGAAAAGCACTTGCTATAACAAATATGTGTCTTTCACCACTTGGTGGAGCACATCTTCTGAAATGTGCTAAATATATAGTATTGTGTAGCTTTACCTTTCTAACCAATCACCTTGTGCAGTAATTGTAGGAACCACTACAGCTCCAGGGCCAAGCTAGTTGGTGTAAGCATAGCTGAACAGGATAGTTCCTGTGCTATGTGGGATTTATGGATATGCCTCTGTCCTGTTTATAATGGGGAACAGGAAAATCATCATGATCTCAGAACTGCAAAGCTGGAAGGGACCTTGTAAATCAATCGAGTCCAGCTTCTGTAAAGGAGGCACAGTGGGGGATTGAACTGCTAACCTCTACCTAACCACTGAACTATCCAGCTAGCCTGGGAGAATGTATTTTTAAATAAGCCCTGCTCTGTTGTGCTTTAAAGTTTGTGAAGCAACTGTCTTATCCAAATGCCAGAATAGGGCAAGCTACTGTATCTGAATAGCCTCCCTATTGATCCCACACACACCAGAACCATGACCCCCCCCACACACACACACCAGAACCATGGGTGTTTTGGCTTACATGGAGAGGCTACTCAGCTACAACAGCTTTCCTTTTTCAGACAGTCATGTTTCCATGATCATAGTGATGGCAGAGAGAGCAAGACTAGCACACTTCACTCAACACATATGGGCTCCATACTTCAAAGTATGACTGTTGTCTTCTTTTGCAGCCTTTCTAAGACAATTAAAACTGAGGTTCAGACTAAATATTAAAGGAAATGGGTTTCTCTTCTTTAGCCAGTTTTCTTTCTCTCCTGCAATAAGTTTTCTGCCACAATACAAGGCAATAATTGAACTTGCAAGTTAAAGCCATATTTATCTTACAGGGACCGATCACAAAACAAAGTATGCTAAACATAGGGTGGGTAGTAGAGGAAAATCAGAATGTTAGACAAACATGACATCAGTTTGTCTAACATTCTGAGGGAACATCTCTTCTAAAACACAGTTTGCATATGGGATCATTTAACCTATGGTGGAAGCCAGCCAGCAAGATCTATTTCCTTGTCTCCTGTTCCACCTTGTGCTACCCTTCTACCTCCCAGATTGATGATGAATGTGGCATGTCTCTGACTAAATTCAGCAAATGAGCAAGGATCTTTCTTCCATCCAGGGGACATTCAATGTGCATGTGAAAGCCTATGAGAAAGTAGCGGAAGAGCATGTGTGCAACCTCCCAGAGAAAGACCGGAAACGTGTTATCCACATTAAGCCCTCGTCTTTCAGTGATGAAATGGAGATTGATGCTTCCATCATTTGTGATGCCTGCCCTTGTGAACAGGTACTGTACTTCCTTTCTCTTTTTTAGTGGGTCATCCGAAGAATGATTATTCGCAATGACTCTGATCTAAGCACTTTAAAATTTGTGTGTAAAAACAACCCTCTCTGAAAGACACTAGAATAAATTTGAAGTCCCTGAAATGAAGTTTGCTAACATCTCATATCTCACTTTTACAGCAACAGGAAATTAATTCTCCTAGGTGCAGTTTCCATGGGAACTTTGTCTGTGGAGAGTGTGTTTGCAATCCAGGCTGGTAAGTACCATATTCCTCCTTAGTGGGATGTCCAGCAGGAAATGTAGTCCTTCTTTGTCCTTAAGAGAAAAAGGTGCTAAGTTTGATTCTCGCTTTTGGATGGAATCGATTCTCCAAGCAACAGCAAATCTCCTCCATAGCAGAACGGAGTAGCTCAGTGGTTTAGGTACCTGGCTGTGGAGCCAGAGGTTGGGAGTTTGATTTGCCTCCTGCAAGTATGGCCTGGGGTAAACTGCACATTTACAGGGCAGTTAAAGTACTATAAAAATAATAGAAATCCAGTCTGTTCTAGTGCAAATGGCAGTGTATGCACAGCAGATATGTCTCTTTATCATATTTAGCGACTGATTTTGCCGTAGGAAATCGCAGTAAGTACTGGCTTGGGGATATTCTGTCTATCAAAACCTCTCCAAAAATCATGGTTGGTGCAATGTTCCACATTTTTCTCTCTACGTCTGTTACTTTTTGCTTTGGAGTAATATTATTGTTATTCGAAAATACCAGACACAGCCAATCAAAATTATAAAAACATTGATTGGTATATAACAGACACAAGTTTTAACCAAAAACCTAATTATCTGTTAAATATTGGCATAATATGTATGTTGTTCCTAATATTGCTGGGTTTTGTAGCTCTAATGGTGTTATTTCTGAGATCTGCAACTGCATATAATATTATGTGAAATTTCTTGATATTGTTCCCAAAGCCCCAATGACTTCAGATGGGAACCAATGAAGTGTCTTTCATCCACAGGCTAGATGTTTCGATCACCAGATCTCTGTATTTTGTTAATTTTTCCATTTTTTATTTTCAACTCTGGCATCCCCTGGAATTGCAATGTCAGTGATCCAGACATTTCTTCATTCTATTACTATTATGTCTGGTGTTTTATGATCAAGGAGTCTATCAGTTTGGATATGGAAATCCCATGTGATCTTGACTTTGCCATTTCTTGACACCTCTGTCTGATGCTCCCAGGGGTTTTGGAGTCTGGCAAGTTATATTTTTTGCATAATGGCCATTGTACTAATTTTGCCACTTGAACATGTCTAATTTTGTAATCTGTTTGTGCAGTCTTTGGACATTTGCACATTAGGTGTGACACAGTTTTCTTTTTCCTCACAGAGCCGACATTTGCTGTTAGCACTAATTCCTTGAATCTTTCCAAATATTCTCCATTTTCATATCCTTAAGTAATTTTCTCTACTTGTACTTATATAATCATGTAGGCTTATTTTTTCCTCCTCTACTATCTGCTGCATTTGCAGTTGTCCATCACTTCCATTTTTTTCCTGGTAAATATAATCTGTCCACATCACTTTTTGGACATATTGAATGATGCATGTTCATTAGTTTTTGTGTTTTTCGATCCAATTCTTTTAATTCCTTTTGAGTCCAATCTATTATTTTAGCTGTGTATCTAATGACTGGAACTGCTCAGCATAGGAACACATTAAACGGGTTTTAATGCATTCCTATGGGCTTTTTTTCCGCATAGCGACAAATCCGCATAGCGACAATTTTTGCTGCACGGATTATCGTCGCTATGTGGGGCATCACTGTATTTATAATTTTCATCACTTGATAGTGATTTTATAATATTGCCATTTTATAACTCTATTCCATGTAGTTTTTGGATGTTGTCACTTTGTATACACAGAGTTGCACATTTGACAATTTCAAAATCATCATCATCTTCTTCTTCTTCTTCACTTTATCTTAGGTAGATGTAGTCCCTCACATAAAAACAACCTTCAAGTCTAAACTCGGGAACGGTCAAGTTAGTAGAGAGTCTCCAGTGATGTCAGATACTCACCAACTCACCTCTTTACAGGAAAATATGGCAGGGCTGAAGAAAAATGCCCTTCTCCCTTTGCTGGTGGAAGTATTCCTAGTAGCAGAGGAGAGAGTAATTTTGACATTTGAGGAAAAGAGTGCAGGTCATTCAGCCAGTAAAAGGAGGAGCCTTCTCTTCCCTTTCCCTTTGAAATAAATACTGTACATAAAAGTGTGCTAAAAACACATGTGTTCAGTTGACATATTTCATATTCACTTTTCTGATCCTTCCTTTTCAAAGAAAACATAAAGGAAGGAGAGGAAAATTCAGACTCAGTACCTTGCTTATCCCAGTTATCTCTTTCCCCATGAGGTGCTGGGAAGTGTCTTTGTCACATGGCTCGTCACAAGCCCAGTTGTGCAGCTAATACTGAATGTGCCTTGCCATTGCATCAATTCACTGCAATTAGCCACAGGAAATTAGACAGCTCTTATACAAAGACCAATAGCACTCTAGAATTTAATTCTGTTTAAGTATAAAAATTTGGTGTTTACAAATCCGAAGAGCCTCATGGCTCAGTGGTTAAACTGCTGTCCTGCAGCCAAAAATGTGCTCACGACCTGGGGTTCAATCCCAGGTAGCCGGCTCAAGGTTGACTCAGCCTTCCATCCTTCTGAGGTTGGTAAAATGAGTACCCAGCTTGCTGGGGGGGGGGCAATGTGTAGCCTGCATAATTAACTTGTAAACCACCCAGAGAGGGCTTGAAGTGCTATGGGACGGTATATAAGCAGCACACTTTGCTTTTTGCTTTGTAACTGTATTTTAACTTAATCTTACTGTGAACTCATTTATCCCATTTGGGGGAGAAAGGCAAGGTATAAATGTGACAAACCAATGAGCAAATCTGGCTCTGAATTTTGTCTCCCTTCTCATTTTTGTCGTCTTGTCTCCCTGACAGGCGAGGAAGGGTGTGCAACTGCTCTACATCTTCCTCTACAGACAACGCTGCTTGCATCAGGCCAAATGATACCGAACCCTGCTCCGGGCGAGGGGAATGTGTCTGTGGCGTGTGTCAGTGCTATCCAGAATATCTGACCCAGCGCTTTGAGGGACAATTCTGTGAATTTGACAACTTGCAGTGTCCCCGTACTTCTGGATTCCTCTGCAATGGTGAGTGATACACCTTGAGAGGCAGAGACTGGCCTTTGTATCTGCAGCCAGGGTTTCTCGCTCTCTAGGGTGCTGAATTCCCACTTTCTTGGATGCTTGTAACGTTCAGGCTAGCGAAGTGTGTCTCACCACTAGCTTAGCCAGCTAGGACTGATAGGACGTGTACTCTTAACAGCATAGGAAGGGCTGTACATTTTTAACTATTCCCTGCACTGGAGGAGGTACTGTGGTGTTTATGAAGGAGCAGATTAGCATCCAGATACCTGTTTTCCCACATCAAATATTATTTTAAAAAATTGCACCTCCTTCCAGCACAGGTTTCCTTGGAGTTAGCCTTGCCCAAAGAAATTAATGAAGCATTGAATTCCCTAGTGTTGTATGTTAGCTGCTGCTTTTGGACCTTAGTCATGGATTGTATTGCAGGCCAAGGGCTAAAGCATGTGTCATGTTAAACATGTAGGATGTAGTTTGTGGAGATGTTTTCCTCCTTGGCAACTTCTTTGCAAAGAGATGAAAGTCCCACTGACACAGCAGCAAATTGCCACCATCCTCCTTTCCCCCTCCTGAGAAACAGGCAGGAGGGGCGCTCTTGTTTTGGTTTTCCTCTCTGTGAGGTGGAAACAAAATAAACCAGGCCCTAAAAGGCTTCCTTCTCTCTTACTAGGCAGAGAGTTCTGTGGTATGCATATAGGAGAAACAAATACGGGGTCGGCTGTATTTTTTAATGTAAGGAGGACTTGCGGAAAAGGAATATAATACATCCCTTTAAAATATGGAAAGTTGGAATAATAACACAGACTTCTTCCTTGGGCACAACTCAGTTAAACAAACATGTGCAAGCCCTTGTGGATCTATCTAGCTGCCCCCAAGACTATATATGACCACCAAGCTTTTTTGTTCTTTGTTAGCTATAGAGTATTTGGTGACCTTTGCCAGTGCCCCCAAGACTATATATGACCACCAAGCGTTTTTGTTCTTTGTTAGCTACAGTATATCCCTTGTGAAAACAATACTTTCACAGGGTATTTGGTGACTTTTGCCAGAGCACACATACAAAAAAAAAGATTAAGAAAATGTTCCACTAGTAGTTTAAAGATCACCAAATGAGGATGATTGGCTAATACCAGAAACATCATTTGTTAGCTCACTCACTTGCTATCTTACGATATGAGCTGGCCTGGTGCCAATGTTTAACATGAAAAATAAGTATTTTTTTGTTTCTGTGTATTGCACAACTGACCACCCTCATCTATTGCCTTCTTGAATTTTTAATTAATTACTTGGTTTAATCGCTTTTTAATTGGTAATTTATTGTGTTCGTAGTTTTACTACGGTTTTTTAAAACTTATAAGCAATGCTGACATGAAACCATGATCTGCAAGGTTGGAGTTATGGGTCTTTCTCTTTAGCAGGAATAAAGGCATTGTCTGCTAATCCCTTACCGTTTCTCTGTTCTCTCTTGAGTTTAACACCGGTCTTTAAAAAATTGTGCAGGTACATTGGTGTGTCAACAAAACACCCTTGCTGGCTACATACTAATCAGGGACATTTTTTTCCTATTTCCATGGATTGGCAATGGTTGTGCATTGTCTGAACCACCACTACCACCCCCCGGGTCAAAATTCACAAGGAGTTCCTCAGAAACATTTTGCTGGTGTGACCGCAGACTTATTAGTTACATCCCACTTGGATTACTGTAATAGGTTCTACATGGGGCTGCCTTTGAAGATGGCTTGGAAACTGCAGCTGGTTCAAAATGCAGTTGCCAGCTTGCTGACTAGAACGAGTTATAGGAAGCATGTAATGTTACAACAACTGGACTGACCACCAGTTCAAAGTGCTGGTTATTACTTATAAAACTTTATATGGTTTAGATCCAGAGTATCTGAATGACTGTTTCCAGGCCCTTAAGATCTTCCAAGGAGGCCCTTCTCTCTGTCTCATTACCATCACAGGCATATTTCATGGGGACACAAGAGAGGGCCCTTCTCTGTGGTAGCTCCTAGGTTGTGGAATGCCCTCCTTTAATACATTATGTTGGTCCCCTGCCTTTTATCCTTCCGCCAACAGTTGAAGACTGACTTTTTCAACCTTTTATCCTTCTGCCAACAGTTGAAGACTGTCTTTTTCAGACAGGCTTTTAATAACTTTTAATAGTTTTCAATAACTATAGTCTGAACACTAGATGCTACTAGATTGATGTTTTGGATTTTTAATTAGTAGTATGGTTTAATTGCTTTTTAATCAGTATTTTATTGTGTTTTTAGTTCTACTGGTTTAATTATTGTGAGCTGACTTGGGTCTGGAAGAAAAGAAGGAAGGAAGGAATTAACTAACTAATTTTGGAGTGATGCAATCTTTCAGTCTTCATTTGGTCAATTTTAACAAATAAGAGCTATTTACTTTGCCAAAGACCAGTTCCATCTGAAGCAGAAATTACTAGAACAGGAATGTTGCTAATAAAAAGACAACTGCTTCCATTTGGGGGCTCTCCTTAGGGGTCTGTGGCTGTGGGGGCTGTCATGCAGAGAGTTCACCCTACAAAATGTACTATGACAATAGTACTTACAGATGAGAATTTTGGGTGCTGGCCTGGCCTGGGACCACTGTGCTGTAAATAAGGGCATAGCTAGTGTTGCTCCTAAATTCAGTCTTTTTCATGCATTGCAAGTTTTCAGAAAAGTACCCACTGTTACCAGTGGAGTAAAGGTGTAGTGTGAAAGAAACAAATAAATGTATATGTGCTCTAGTTCTTGTATGAGTTGATTTTACATTTATTGTAACACCTTTTGTGTCATTGTTTTCATGTTATTATTCCTTTTTTAATAAAGATATAGAAGACACAAAAGATAATTCACAAAATTGTCTACAGATGCATAGATTGGTTAAGGATATTGTGGTACTTTGTTGAAGAAACCATTTTTATTTATATTAGTCATTCAAACCTAGGCTAGAGAGCTATGAAACCCTGTGGTGCTTTCCTTCCTCTGTAGACCGGGGTCGCTGTTACATGGGTCAGTGTGCCTGTGAAATTGGTTGGACAGGACCTGGGTGTGAGTGTCCCACAAACAACGAAACTTGCATCAGCAGCAATGGGGTAAGTGATTTTTCTCTCCTTAGTAGGGTAGAGTTACAATAAGGGTTGGGAGCCTCAAGCCCAGGAAACAAGTCTGGCCCTCTTGGAACTCTGATCCAATGCAAATGGCCATACTGTTTCCCCATAACACCATAAACGTGGTCTCTTCCTAGCTATTACAAGGATCTTTCCCCTATTCGGAAGAACTGAAATTCTTCTCCTATGTCTTAACTATTGGCAGTAAGATCATTCAAGCCAAAAAAAAAATACTGATATTCTTGGTCTTACCCTTTTACTTGGGTTGCAACAACCATTACAACATAAACCCCAAGGGCATCTCTGTGATTAGATTTGACCCTTGGCCAAGAGAGCATCTCCTCAGTTGAGTTGGTTATGGGAGGGGGCGGAATATGAATTTCCTTCATATTCTAAGGGATGAAGATCAGGGGAAGAGCTGATTTAAATCAGAGTTCTGAGTGGCTTCTAATTTAGCATAGTAGAACCTTCCAGTGCCTGCCAGTTTCAGTGAGAAAATCTCTTATAAGCTTTTGGAAAGTCTTTGGAGATTATGGCTGATCAGAGTAGAGGTTCACTTCCTTTGACTTGGCTTCTTCAGTTTCCACGTCAAGCAGGGGGAAATTGTGTAACATTCAATTGTCACTTCTTCTGTTTTCTGCCTTGCTGTGTAAAGCCTTGATAATGGTCAGAATCCTGTTGTAAAATGCCATGTGCATAAGGGAGACAGTGTACATGGGTGCCCTCAGCTCCCTGTCCATCTGCCAGGACCCAGACAGTTAACTGAATCTGTGACCTGGGGTATGTTTGAGTACACAACAGCCAGCCAGATGATCACACACACCAGTTATGCAATTTTTGTTCAACATTACACCAACCTAATAGGATTCTTGCCAAAAAGAGAGAAACAGGGCAAAGCATTTATGTGTGCACCCACTTCAAATAACCATTAAAACTCAGGTTTGTGTATTAGTGGAGTGTGAATGAGGTAAGTTCATAAAAACTGTTATGGATTGTCTTTTTAATGCCTCCTATTCAGTTGCATTTCCTAATGCCGAGGTGAAAAAAGGTTAGGATAGGACTCTCAATTAGCCAGGAGCTCTTTTCATTACTTTCAAGTGTCTACTTGGCTAGGGAAGGAGATCTACTGTACAAGTGAATTCACAAAGAGGTGTTATCCCAGGCTATGTGAAAATTAGATAGCAAGAAGGACATTCAGAAGTTGCCTCTCCATTCTTCCAGGTGATTTGTAATGGACGTGGGAGATGTGAATGTGGCCGGTGCATCTGTGACAACCCCAAGGTCTTCACTGGTCCCACTTGTGAAGTCACTGACCTGGTAAGTTGTGAGACCCAGCCAGTGTCTGTTTATCACCCAGTATTTAGTTATCAGCTCTCCTAATTGGTTATCTTCTATTGCAACACATTGAGAGGATTGATGAACTACATTGTGTGATTATTTTACTCTCATGTATAAACTCTATAGCCTACATCAGTTATTAATTCTATCTAGAGTAGTCTCACTGAATCAGTGGAACTTGGGGCTCAATCATGCATGAGAAAATAACCCCTGTTATGCCAGTGCTTTTCATACCTGTGCTGTACCAATAAATTTTTTGGGGGGGGCAGTCCTGTGGTGTATGTACTGTCGAGAGTGTTCACATTGTTTTTAACTGTATTGATTCATTTCTTTCTATTTCAACTGTTATAGTAGGCTACACTGCTCATAATTTTGTATTGGTTTATTTTTTCTATTGTTTCTTGGGGCAATCAGCCTCCCCATCCTTTAAAAAAAATATAAGTGATACATCCATGATTCAATAGAGAGATCCTAACCTTCTCTGATCCTCCTCATTTCCTTTCCCTCCTTTACCTGATCCTTTTGTAAAGGAAATAACTTGACAGCATGATCCTTTGCAAGTCTTTTGCACAGCATTGGGAGGAGGAAGCAGGTTTTGAAAGACTTGCAAAGTATCATGAAAAGCAGGGGGGTTATTTAAAAAAAAGAAATGAGATGCAACATTCCTTTCTTTACAGTTCAAAGCAGGAAATGTCTCTGCTCGAGCCCTCTTCCATTCACAATGGAGAGTGGGAAGGCTCGCATCCTTCGACTTGTCTCCTTCTGAGCAATGTATTCATGTTGTTTTTGCTAGCACCAGAGACTGTTAGTGCTGATTTGTCACTACACTTTAATTTATTTATTTTTAAGGGTACAAGCACAGCAGCCGTGAAGTGGCCACAGTACACAGAAATGTGACCCCTTTGCAAAGGAAATAAATCAACAGCAACATTCCCATAGGCTGAATGTTATTTATTTATTTATTTATTTATTTATTTATTACCCAACCCAACTAGAGTCAGAGCCATTACTCTGGGTGGCAAACAAATCATAATAACACCATGCAAGCAATCCAAATAACACCCACATACGTAAGTAAACAGAAACATAATAACAAAACATAAAATAATTGATTTTTAAAAACACTACAATATAAAGTATTTTTATAACAAGACAACACCAGGACAAGCTTTCCCCACCACTTGTCTATAATATGCTTTTGAGGGTGTTGGTATCCATTTTAATTCTACCTGATAATCTGCACCTCTCTCCATCCCATCTATTCCCTCATGCAGTAACAACTGTATGTAATTTTCTCATACCCTTGTTGAGAAGTCAGGTGTTCTAGAGTGATGCCTTCTTTCTGATGAACAGGGCTTTCAGCGTGTGTGTACAGAAAATGTCCGAACGTGTGTGCAATGCCAGGCTTGGGGGACTGGAGAGAAGAAGGGAAAGAAATGTGCAGACTGCCCTTTCAAGATCCGACTGGTAGATGAACTCAAACAAGGTACCATGGTTTCCCAAATCATCTTTTTTCTGATGTTCATGTATATGCCAAAGAGAACTCTTTATGGGTACTGGCAAAATCATATTTTGCTTAGCATAAGAGGTGGATAATGTAAGCAGTGTACAATCTATCTCTGCTTGCCAGAGATGGGCCCTCTGTGTGTGTGTGTGTGTGTGTCTTGTAAGGAGCAGTAGAGATAGAGATGGGTAGTTAGGATTATGTCTGTCTGTCTGTCTGTCTGTCTTGTAAGGGGCAGTAGAGGTAGAGATGGGTAGTTAGGATTGCCGGGTGTGCTTCCTCCTCTTGTTGGTTCTGTTTCTTCCTTGTCTATAGACTGATACTCTCTAGCTTGACTTCATTTCTTCCCACACATCTCCTCTTCTTTTTGTCCCAGTCTCTTCTCCATCCTAAACATGTAGCACAGTGTAATAAACACTCTTCTCACTGTGTTGTCTTTTGTTGATGATTACCATCATCAGCTTTCATAGAGGCTAACAGGGAAAGCCTGTTTTAAGGTGTATGGTGTGCAGCGGCGGCAGCAGCCATTACTTTATGAAAGCTCATGATAGGACAAATAGGCCATATATGTCACAAGACCACAGTATTAATGTGGCATGGCTTGGTAGCAGAGACAAGTTCACAGATCACAAAATAACAGGGTGGCTTTCAGTGATATGCAAATGAGGGCAGAATAATACTGTACTGTACTAAATTGGTGAACAAGATACTGTCTTCTGGGCACTGGAGACTCTTGCTTCTTGCTGCCTCATTGTGACCCTACAGCAAATCTAGTAACCACACCAATGTTGGGTTTGAGAAAACTCATATATTCCCGTGGTCACCTGGAATGGTCTTCAGGTAATGCTTCCAAGTGGTCTTCAGTGTGGGAGCTTTGTTAATCTGTTTCAGCATGGAGAACAAGAAGGAAAAAGTATTGTGGCACCTTAATAGCTAACAGATTTATTCCAGTGTGGGTTTATGTGGATTATGGTCCATGTCCTTAAACTCTATGTATCTGAAGTAGTGAATTGTGACCCATGAAAGATTGTGCTGCAGGAAGTGTTCACCTTCGAAGCGCAGCAATATTTTTTTTCTCTTTGTTTTTGTCATACTTTCTGAGCAGCATTTCTTCCTTTCTGTGTCACTAGAGTGAGGGCCTCAATCCCCCAAATGTCCAGGGTGCATGAGTAACGTTGTCTCAACTTCCATTGTCTCTGCAGAGGAAGAGATCAATATGATTTGTTCCTTCCAAGATGAAGAGGATGATTGCATGTACTACTATACCAAGGCAGATGATACTGACCTACATGGCAATGGCACTGTGCATGTGCAAAGAAAGAAAGGTACACACTTATTTTCTAGCAAGGGGAAAGGCTGAATCCCTGGATCAAGAGAGCTGTCAGCAGACATTACTGCTCTTCTTCCTTACGAGAAGCTCTTCTCCTGTTGTCCCTGATGATTGTCACGTCAAGAGAGCTGTCAGCAGACATTACTGCTTCCTTACGAGCAGCTCTTCTCCTGTTGTCCCTTATGATTGTCACAGAGATTCTGAGGCTAACATTAATCCTGGAAGCTTGGCTAACTCCATGAAGCAGGCATGTAGACACTATCACGTCTGTGAGATGGAGTTCTGATCATCACCAAGAACTCTGTTATGCTGGAGTACGAGGGTTTTATCCCCTTTTCAGCTCTGGAGATCAGAGCTGGCTCTGTATGTCCCATGCCAACATAAAGAGGAGAGAGATTCTAGATCATTGGAAGGAGTCCCCTCATCCCAGCTCAGTAATCCTACTCATGGGTCCCTGGCAGAAATGACCCTTCCTTGGCAGGACGTTATGTGTGTTATGAGTAGAGATGGGCATGAACCACAAAAATTGTGGTTCGTGGCTACTCACGAACCACAAACTATTTTAACTTTTTTTTAAAAAAAACTATGAACCACTTTGGGTTTTTTTTTATAAAAGTTTGTGCCTGGAGGGAGGGGAAACTAAAGCCTGCCCCGCACTCCCTTCTCACGGCTCCTGTTGCCTTCCTACCTGGTCCTCCCACCTCCTCCATCACAGCAAATGGGCAATCTGGCACTGCAGGCCCTTAATATCACCCATTTGCAGCCCCACAGCCTCCACCTGCCCCCTTTCCACTGCCCCCATCGCCGCCCTGCCGCCTCCTCCTCGTTTTCTATTGCTGAAAATGAGTGATCTGGTACTTCGTGGTGCCAGATCACCTGTTTGCAGCTCACAGCCTGCCCACTGCTCCTGTCACCTCCCCATCTGGTTGTGTCACCTCCTCCTCCTCCTCCTCCAGCACTGCCATCTTGAGAGACAGTGGCCAAGCTTCTCTTCTATAAGCCAGGCCTGCTGTCTCTGTCTATTAGCTGGCAGGTGGTGGGCATGCACAGAAACAGCAGGTCCAGCTCCCAGAAGGGAAGCCAGGCCTGCTGTCCCTCAAGATGGCAGCGGAGGTGGAGGGCAAAGAGGAGGAGACAATGGGACCAGCTAGGGAGGCCACTGGGACAACAGTGGGAAGGGGGTGGGAGCAGACTGTGGCGTGAGGGGGAACAAACCGAGAAATTCATTAAATTATATTTTAAAAAATTTAGTTTGTGCCCATCTCTAGTTGTGAGGTCTACACAGATGATGATTGGAGGGCACAGCACACATGCCTTGTGGTCTGCAACTTGTGCACCTGTGTTGTTGTGTGAGTTTTCTGGTTCTGCCTTCTCGGGAGCTAATCTATACTTGTCTCGTTTATGCTCTGATCACTGTTGCCTCTCATCTGTCTTTGCTTCCTGCCCAAATTCTATGTCGTCCCTTTCCCACCCCCCCATCCCCCATGTACCTGTTACAGTTTTACATTTGCTATCACTACAGAGTGCCCAGCGGGAAGCTTCCTTTGGCTTATACCCTTAGTCATCTTACTGATGCTTCTCCTGGGATTGCTGCTTCTATTCTGCTGGAGGTTCTGTGCCTGCTGCAAGGTAAGATCCATGTTGTCCCCTTGCAGTACCAGAGAAACATAAGGGGGAGGCAGGTGGCGTGTGTTGGATCTAAGGGAGGCCAAAGAATTGGAGGGGAAAGGGCATAGCCCTTATTTCTACCACTTGAAGTTGATAAAGATGACATAGAGGGAACATTACACAGGTTGAATTATGCTTAATTTCCAGGCAGGACAACAGGGGAGGGGGCTCAATGATTAAACAAATACTAGGGGAAAATATTTAAAATGGGCCTAATAGAATAATGTCAGGTTTCAGGGATGGACAGTAGAGAATTGGCCCATGGGGAAGGATAGGAGAGGTCAATATGCCACTAAAGCATCTACAGTGGTGCCTTGCATAGCGATCGCTCCATATAGCGATGAAATCGCTTTGCGATGGACTTTTTGCCATTGCAAAAGCAATCACTTTGCGATAGTCCCTATGGGGAAATTTTGCTTTGCGATGATCTCAGGGAAGCGATCGTCGCAAAGCCTTCATTTTCGGCCAGCTGATCGGCGGTTTCAAAATGGCCGCCGGGTAAACAAAATGGCCGCCAGCTGTGTTTCCTCGCTTAAGAGGCACCGAAAATGGCCGCCCCTATGGAGGATCTTCGCTTAAAGGTGAGTTTTTAGCCCATAGGAACGCATTAATCGCGTTTTAATGCGTTTCTATGGGCTTTTTATTTTCGCTTAGCGATGTTATCGCTTAGCAGGTATTTTTTCTGCACGGATTAACATCGCTAAGCGAGGCACCACTGTACTTGTCACTTTTGGGAGGCAACAGATGTGTGGGGAGAGAATACATGGGCCTGTACCAGTTGTCATGATACACAGTGCCTAAAATTCAGGTAGGTGTGGGAAGGCTTTGCCCCATCCTGATTTTGTAGATTACAGTTTCCACAGTCCTCTATTCTTGGCTATACTAGCTGGGACTGAGGGCTGTTGAGTTTCAAAATGTCAAAAGTTCCTCACCTCTGATGCAAAGGACCTGGAGTTTGGGACCTCTGCCAGATTGCTGATTACAGGGAGCATATAACCCCCCTGTTATATTAGCTTCCCTGCCTGCCAGTCCATTTCCCAGTCTAATTTAAAGTGCTGGTTATAGCTATAAAGCCCTAGATGGCTTCGGTCCAGACTGTCTGGAGAATAGTCTCTCCTTAGATAATCTCCTTGAGTCTTAAGGTCATCATCACCTCGTCTTTACAGGTACATTTGGTGGGGATCCAAGGGATGGCCTTTTCAGTGTCTGCCCTCAGGCTCTGGAATGCCTTCCCCCATGAGGCTAGGCTGCCCTCCTCCCTCTTTTCAGGGACAATTGAAAACCCTTCTTTTCAGGTGACTTTTAGTATCGTTTTTATGTAGTTAGAGGCTCTATGCTTGATTTTTAATATACTTGTTAATGTTTTTTTAATGTTTTTATATTTTAAAAATAATTTTACATGTCTGTTGCACTCTTTAGTAGCTTTTAAATTATTGCAGTATTTTGTTTTAATTTGATTTTATTTAGTAATGTTGTGAGCTGCCTGAAGCCCCTTCTCCAGAAGAAAGACGACATAAAAATGCAATGAGTAAACAAACAAACAAACAAACAAACAAAACTCACGGCACTTCACAGCTAATGACATGATTGATCCAGGCTGGCCACTGTAGGCCTACCTGTGGTCATAAGCCCCATACATCACGATGATGCCTACCCTCCCTTCTTGTCAGCCAGTCTGGGCATCATCCATTGCTTCTCCTTGGACTATATATTGCATTATCCACATGAGCTGCAACAGGGGAAGATGCCTGCCTTCCTTGCTGTTAGTTTGATTTTTTTGCATCTTCATGTTAACTCTAACTTTTGCTATAATTTTCTTGTTTTTATTGTTTAGGCTTGCCTGGCTCTGCTGCCCTGTTGTGCGCGAGGTACTGTATCTTGAATGTAGATGTGGTCCTTGAGATGAGTGACAGCAGAGTCTGAATAGTGTGTGTCAGGACTGGGGTCCCAGTGGGTTAAACGCTACTACAGGACCAAGATATTGAAATATTGGCAGCTGAGGTTATCTTGAATATACTGTATGGGGCAACCTTATACTGAAACAGGCGAGTGGTCCATCTCCCTCAGTACTTTCAACCTGAACCCTGCTAGACAATGGCTGTTCATGTTCTTGAGACAGACCAGGATTTTCCTAGGCTGGTTTCCTGAGGCCATTTTTTTTTCTCGAGATACCAAGAATTTTGGATCCTTGTATGATTAAAGCACTTGTATTGCACTGTATTATCTTCTCTCTGAAAAGCAGAGGCTTAGGTTTGAGGGAGAATTCTTGAGGCTGTTTTCATAAAGCAGGAGGCAGAGCTAAGTGCTCCTTGGTGATAATATCCTTGAAACGTGATGAGAAATGGATTCTGCATGGAATGGTTGGCCTTGTAACTAGATGGGCAGTATAGAAGTTGGATGGACAGATAGACAGATAAATAAGGTTGGGTGAGCATTCTCCAGGCTTAGGAAGCCTATAAGTCAAAGGAGATCAGAGGAAGATTAGAAAAAGCATTCAACAGTATCCCTGGTGTTATAAATCTTGAGCTGCAGTCATTCAACTAGCAATAGCTCCCACCTGAGAAAAATACTGGGATAGTTTGCAAGGTGGAAAGCAAGGTGTTTCCCTTTTGGCAGTGGACTTGTCGACTTGTCTTAGGGCTTGCCTTGGAGCGAATTGGTGCAGGCTTGTGATCAAGGAGAAGTCACTTGTGATCGGGGAGAGGTCTGGTATGTCATTTGATGTGATCCTCATATCCAAATGACATGTACACATCAGACAATCCTATCTGGTCCAGCTCCTTCCTCTTTCAATTTTCAATATCATGAAGTGGCTTAAAAATACAGACACTTCATGATTTTGGAGAATTAAACACTTCCACTGTTCCATGGAGAGGGAAAGGAGGTAAAAGATTTTTTTATATATACGTTGTATTAGGGCAGCACTGGTGTGTTGCATCACTTATTTAAAAATTTAAAATTGAAAACTTCCTCCTGGAAGTCGGAGGAGACGGGAACAGCAAGGAAGGGGATGTTTTCCCTTTTCTTTGTGACTTTTTTTGTAAAGACTGGGTCTAGGACCTACCTTCAGCCAAACCCACTGTTAAGTACCAGGCAGTGATGGATTCAGCTTTTGACAGGTTCTTCTGCTTTCCCCCTCTTGCCGTCTCCTCCTTCTGGAAGGAAATTTTCATTAAAAATATATATTAGTGATGCAGTGCATCAGTACTGCCCTTATGCAGTATAAAAGAAAGTTAACTTCCTCTGCCCCTCTGTAGAGCAGAGGAGGTGTTTAGTTTCTCAATATCATGATGTGATTGTCTTCTTAAACCACTTCACAGTGTGGGAAATTGAAAGAGGAAGGCAAATTGTCAGCCACATGCTCCACTTTTTTTCCCAGTGATCACACAAGGTGGAAACAAACCAAAATAGTGAAGCTCTACCTGCGCCGCACGCATGCACGCACGTACACAGACACACACACACACACAAAATAGAAGCGCATGACAGAGACTGAGAAGTGCGTGGGTAGGAAAGCTCTGGGGATGGGCTGATTTGCTCCAGTGATTATATTATGTGGAAAAAGAAGCAAACCAGCGTGTCCCCACAGCAGACCAAACAGCAGGCTATATGCATGATTGGCCCTTTAGTCTTCACTCAGATGCAAGAAAAATTAAGAGTTACAACCAGGCCTTTGTGGCATATGTTCTAATTCCACTTCCTTCTCTGAAGGTCGCACCGTTGGTTTCAAAGAGGACCACTATCTGCTCAGGCAGAGTCTTATGACCTCAGATCACCTGGACACTCCCATGGTACGCAGTGGCAACCTAAAAGGCAGAGATACGGTCCACTGGAAGATCAAGAACAACGTACACAAACAAGACTTCTCTTCCTTAGCTCTCAACCCAAAGGACTTGAGTAAGTGCCCGCTATACAACAAGAAGAAAGGGTGCCATGGTGAATGCGGCCTGTTTCTAAAGTGAAAGGTGGGGTGGAGAAAATGGTGGCCTGTTGCCCTTTCAGCATCTGAGTCAAGTGGTGCTCACATGATTTGTTCCTCAAAATACCTGAGGGGAACTGCTAGTTAGAAGGCTTCCTGACATTCTAGATAATATAGAGATACAGTATCATTTATAGGCAAGGGAGACTGTTAAACTTGAAGACTTCTGTCTGAAGGCTAAGCTTTCCTCTTGGAAGGAGATTGTTATTGAACAAACGTGTAAGCTGGGTTCTTCCATACAGGTAAAACTAACCAAAAGCTGGATTTTAGCTCTAGGATTTGAAATGTGTGTGTTGCATATGTAAACCAACCTCAGTAGTTGTGCGATCGCATTGTTTTTGACTGACGATAAATTGAGCAAGCTGACTGATTTCTTTCCTCATTTCCAGTTCCTTATGGTATATCTCTCAGATTGGCCCGGCTCTTCACCCAAAACCTTGCTAAACCAGACAGCCGCGAACGTGAGCAATTGCAGAAGCAAGTGGAGGAAAATGTAAGGAAAGATTGCTACTGTCTGTTAGCGTTCCTAATGAGGAGTAGAGTGAAGCAAACTGGTATTGGAGCCTTCATTTTCTTAGATCTGAATAAAGTACAACTTAAGAGCATGTTTACTTAATATAATGGGAGTAGGGGACTGAAGTATATAATAAAAGCACTGGTTTGAACGGTGGGAGTGCAGTTCTTACACACCAGCTTGATATGTTTTGCGTACCTCTTGTAGAAAATCTGAATGACATGCTCTTGCTCTTCACAGCTGAATGAGGTTTACAGAACTATCTCAGGTGCCCACAAAGTCCAGCAGACAAAATTCAGGTGAGAAACTTCCAGAAAAAAAAAAAGAATTGGCAGACACACAGAGAAAGTGGGTGGTTTTTAAATAGGAACATGAGTGGATTAAACTGGGTGTATTGGGGAGTCGTGTGATTAAATCTGGAGAGTTTCTTCATGCTGAAAAGGTTGCCGCCTCCTCTTACAGAGGAGTTATGGGCAAGAAAAATGAGTAAGGAATGGAAAGTGATAAGACTGTAATTTTACCGTTTTTCCATGGTAAAGAATTTTCAGAAAGAACTATGTCAGGGTTGGGAAGGTATGTAGCCTTCCAGATGTGGCTGGACTGCTCTCTTACCGTTACTTACACTGAATATGCTGCCAGTTATATGTCCTTTGGAGGGCCACATGTTCTCCAGCCCTGAACCTTACATAGTTTATTTGAGAGATCAAACCAGCAAGGCTCCCTGTTGCTCCTTAAATTTTAACTAAAATATGTATTTCATCTCTTTTCTTCCTAGGTTACAACCAAATGCTGGGAAAAGGTAAGGAAAAGTGTTGAGGGGCTTTGGGGTGATTTTCACTGAGATGTGATGCTATTCATCTACCACTCAGAAAATTTGATGTCTCCTTAATAATGCTCTCTGTTTTCTCTGCACTGTAATATTAATTCCAGAGAAAATCTCCTTTTTGGTGAATTCTAAACATAGCATGTGTGGGGAAGTATGGTGATGGTCATCCTTTCCAAGCAGTAATGAGAGCTGCATACAGACTATTCCTGCTACGTAACCCAGAAAACGGTTGCTTGAAAGATATGTCCCCATGCCTTTGCAGTTTCTTGGTCATGTTGCCCTTTGGTGAATATTATACTGTTTGAAGTGGAAAGTGCATGACTGTAAGCCTGCAGTAAACACACATTAGGCAACTGCAGTGGGCCAAACTTTATGCCACACCTTTTATGGGTTAGGGTTACAGGGTTGTTTCAGTCCATGGTTGTGCTGCAAACACTGCCTTTAATGGTGTAAAGGGTTTGGAGCCCTCTCTGTGGGAGGCAGGAAGCAATCTGTGGAATGGCACAGTTCAGTGGTTAAAAGTAACTTGCAGGTACGCCTGTGCGATCAGATAGATAAACCTATGCAAGCAGTGGGCGTGTATTTTCAACAGCCTGGTCTAGTGGTACAGAGCTCTTTGCAGTTGGATGATCCCATCCCTTCACGGGGAGGAGGCACATTCTCGCAGTGGCCAGAATCAGAACAAAAAGTGACACGGAGCCTTAAGAGGAGAAAGCCTAATCTTTTTTCCCATGCCTTCTCCAGACAGGACCACGCAATCGTAGACACTGTACTCCCTGCTCCCCGCTCAGCAAAGAATGAGATAGTGAAAGTAACAGAGAAGCATGTCTCGCAAGAGGCTTTCAATGATCTGAAAGTGGTGCCTGGTTACTACACTGTAATCGCCGACCAGGGTAAGTGGTGCTAGGCTTTGTTTTGTTCTCGCTGCGGTTTCAGAAATGTGTCTGGGCTATACGCCTTCAAGCAGAGGCCGAGGTGTGTGTGTTCTATAGGATAGGACTCTTCTCCATGCAAAACATTTCCTCTGCTATCGTCCTGGCATGTCAGGTACAGAAAGGTTCTACTGGGAGTCTTATGGTGCAGTGGTTAAACTGCAGTACTGCAGCCAAGACTCCGCTCACGACCTGTTTGATCCCAATGGGCTCAGGTAGCTGGCTCAAGGTTGACTCAGCCTTTCATCCTTCTAAGGTCGGGAAATTGAGTACCCAGCTTGCTGGAGTGGGGGTGGGGCAATGTGTAGCCTGCATAATTAAATTGTAAACTGCTCAGAGAGTGCTTTAAGCTATGGGGTGGTATATAAGCAGCATCGTTTTTTGCTTTGCTTTTTTATTCTTGCCTTCTCATGGTGAATTTTATATATGTCTACGGATTTTTCATTTAAATTTTTTTTACTTTTTTTTAAAACTGAGGAACATTCAACCCATGTGAGATTCTACCTGTGTCCTGCAGTGTTAAAGCCTAGACCAGAGGTGGGCACCCAACTAGAGGCTGGCACATGCCTGCCCCTGGGCCTTGGAGGGCTGCGCCTTCCCCTACAGCCTGTGTGTGTTTAGTCGTTTAGTCGTGTCCGACTCTTCGTGACCCCATGGACCAGAGCACGCCAGGCCCTCCTGTCTTCTACTGCCTCCCGGAGTTGTGTCAGGTTCATGTTGGTTGCTTCGCAGACACTGTCCAGCCATCTCATCCTCGGTCGTCCCCTTCTCCTCTTGCCGTCACACCTTCCTAACATCAGGGTTTTTTCCAAGGACTCTTTTCTTCTCATGAGATGGCCGAAGTACTGGAGCCTCAGCTTCAGGATCTACAGCCCTACAGCCTACAAGTAGCAAAAATGTTTTTCTTTACAAAAGGCTTTTGTGTACTGCCCTCTAGTGGACAAAAATGTTTTTAAAGTACAAAAACAGATGACAGGAGTGTTGTGGTCTGCACATACCAAAACATGGTAAAACTGCTTCCCAAACCCTTTTTTGAGTGGCGAGGTGGTTGAAGAACCCATAGGTGCTAGAGGGCACATTGAGGCCTTTTGAGGCTGCATGTAGAGCTCATGGGCCACACTTTCCCCACCTAGGCAAACACACATTTTCTACATTGCTAAGGTCTGTTGTGTCTCCCTCAAATAGAAACAAGCTCTGTGCAACCCCAAATGATTAACTTCTTGCTTTCTTTGCCTGCGGTCATTCCAACCTCAGATGCTCATGGACTGGTAGAGTTTCAGGAAGGAGTGGAAGTGGTCGATGTCCGGGTTCCCCTCTTCATTAGGGAAGAGGATGATGATGAGAAACAGCTGCAAGTGGAAGCCATAGATGTTCCTGTGGGAACTGCAGAGATTGGCCGACGGTTGGTCAACATCACCATAATAAAAGAACAAGGTAAATATGTGAATGGCATGAAGGTTCACAGAGGGGTTTGTGGTTGACAAGCTGTCCTTCCTCCTCCCTGTTTCTAGCCTGTCGTATCCAATAATGGCACATTCAGCTGAGACACCTTCCATGAGGAAGATATCTGCTTTAATGACCACTCTGAAATCTCCTTGGAACCCCAAAAGGTTTCTGTAAAATAATGCAGAGAGAGAGGCCACCATTTTCTGCTTGCTGCAGTTGATCATGGTACCTTTGATTTGTTCAGAATTTGGGGCTTGTCTCATTCAAGAGATCACTCAAGAGGGTCTTAGGGCCTCACTGGATGATAACATTTAGAAGAGGTACTCCCAACTGGATTGAATTTCCTGGCACAATATTTCCATATAAATTACAGTGGTACCTCGACTTGTGAACTTAATCCGTATTGGAATTAAGTTTGCAGGTCGAAAAGTTCGCAAGTCAAGTCAAACTTTCCCATTAGAATGCATTGAAAACCATTTAATCTGTATCTGATGTTTTCCGTTCATAGGTCAAACGCTGTTCGTAGGTAGAGGCATTAGTTCCCATAGGAACTAATGCAAAGCCGGTGAGTCCATAGTCCACCACTGGGGAGTGGTCTTCCTCTTCTTTTGACCTAATATGAATTTAGGTCAAAAAAAAGGGCAGGAAATGTTTTTTTTTCTTTTTTCGGTTCATCAAGGCTCCGTTTGCAGGTTGAAGCAACTTTTTGCAAACGGAGCCGTTCGTAACTCAAATCATTCGCCAATAGGGACAAACGTAAATTGAGGTACCACTATACCAGGTGTGGTACTTAGTACGAGCTGGGTTGCACCAGTGTGATCATATTCAAGAAAATGAGAATGTATTTGTACAGTGGTGCCTCACTTGACGAGGATAATCCATTCCAGAGCGAAATCCTCGTCAAGTGAAATAAAAAAGCCCATTGAAATGCATTGAAAACTGTTCAATGTGTTCCAATGGGCGAAATACCTCATCGTGCAGTGAAGATCCTCCATAGGGCAGTGATTTTCTGCGGGGAGCAATTTTACACAGCGGGTGGCCATATTGAAGACCCGACGATCAGCTGTTTTGATCGTCGTGAAGTGAAAAACTGGTTCCCAAAGCAGGGAACTAGTCATCATAAAGCGGTTTTTTCCTATGTAATCATCATTTTGCAATTGCTATAGCGATCGCAAAAAAACCCATTGTACAGTGAAAAAACCGTCATGCAGGGTAACCGTCTAGTGAGGCACCACTGTACAGTATTTAGAAGCACACAGAATGATATTTGAAAGAAACATGTCACCATGTGTAGTCCCATGCACATCTGTACCTTAGAATGGGCATAGCGAATGTCTGGCTCTTGAGATACTTTGGGGCAATTGCCATGATGTGTCACAACTGGCCATGCTGGCTGGAGTCAATGGGAGTTGAAGTCTAAAAACATCTTGCATATTCACCATCCATGTCTTCTGAATATCTGCTGAAGTGAAATTTCCCTATCGTTGATGCATGGGCCATTGCGTGATATGCTTTGCAATAGAATGTTGAAGAACCTACTGCAGGTTGTGTTTATTCTGTGAGACTGCCAGGAGCAGAAATAAATCACTCTTTTATACTACCTTATGTAAATTCAAACTTCACCGAGCTGTAAGCCTTTTATTTAATATGCTATTGTTGCTGCTGCAGCTGTTTTATATTTGTGTTTCCTTTTAGCCAACAGCATAATTAGCTTCTTGCAGCCAGAATATTCATACAGCCGCTTTGACCAGGTGGCTAAGATACCTGTGACTCGTGACATATTGGACAATGGGAAATCCCAGATAACCTACAGAACGCGTGATCTCACCGCCCAGGAAGGCAGAGTAAGGATGATGAACCTGTGAACCAGAAATGTATATTAGTATGTGTGTTGTGAAATGACTTAGAAAGAATGATCATATGTAGAAAGGTGTCGGGTTTTTATACATCCTTCCTCGTGTAGATGTATGGAGTCCTTTTGCTGACAGTTTACTATATTTATACCATTTGTAGCTCATCTTTTGTGAGTTGTGAGATTCCATATTTAGTAAATACAGTACATGTTACTTTTTCTACTTAAGCAGATTGTGCTGCTTCTGGAGAGATGTGCTTTTATCACATATCTAGAAAGCCTGGATTATCTAGCTCAAAGGACTGAAACTGTGTACTTCACATGGATGTTGTACAAAAGAGCAGATATCCAGATTTATGCCTGATTCGGCACAGAAAACTAAGGAACATAAGGAACATACTGTTTCCCCCTTTTGCCCCTTTAGCAGAAAACATAGAAATAAGCCAGGTCCTTCAAGAAATACTCCTGTCAACCATTCTTAATGCTAAATATTCCAGATATTGCAAAAGGAGGATATAAATCTTGTATCTAAATTATATGGAGATTAAATAAATTATACAAATCTTCTAAATTGGCATTGTTCTAGGCCATGTTCTTGTACTTCTGTTAATATCTTTGATGACAGGTAGTATAGAAAAGGGATGGCGATGTAGAACTAGGGGGTTGTGGAGCAACAAAACCACAGGAGACACTAATGGGAAGGATACTGGAGCCAGTATTAGTAATGTATGCCAATGATCCTTAATGTTTGTTATGTTGTTTGTGCCATCCTACTTGCTAGTGAAATACTAATTTTAAGAATCACTCATTCAGATACATAGCTGTTCATTGCTGCACTGAGCAGCTGATGAACTATCTTGCCTGTACAGTATTAGAGAAAAGTGGTAGAATGTCTTTTTAAATCCTTGCAGATATTTTTCAGAATGGATTGTCATTTTTAAATATTGTAAACTTCTCTGAGGGTGATGTATAAGTATTTCAAAAGAGCTGTTAGGGAAGATGTTGAGCTTGCATGACAGCGCTGTTCAGCACACTTTTCTCCTCGTTCCCAAGGATTATGTATTTGCAGAAGGCGATTTGGTCTTCCTGCCTGGGGAGAAGAGGAAGGAGGTGCAGGTAAAATTGCTGGAGCTGACAGAAATAGATGCCCTGCTTCACAATAAGCAGCTGAAGCAGTTTGCAGTGGATCTCGTCAACCCCAGGTTCGGTGCAAAAGTTGGCAAATACCCTCAAACCATGGTGACAATTGTCGATCCAGGTGAGCTTCCTCCATTTTGTTAAGGCAAGCCTCATTCTGATCTCTGCATATCTGTTTGTTGTACTATGTTGTGTGGATGTCCAGACTTCTCTATAGACACCAGGCTCTGTGGGACAAACATGGTTAATATGTTTTCAAAACGTGGAGCAAGAAAACTCTAATTAGCCCTTTTCAGGCCTTCTGTTTCGAGTAAATGCATAGGGAGAGGGAGTACATGAGTCCCTGTGCCTTTCCCAGTGAAGCAGAATAGTAAGTAGATATATCAAGGCAATGGGGGCCACTAAATAGGATGTGTGAAAGGAGGTAACTGTGCATGTGCCTGATAAAGCAATGCCTCTAGTCCATAAATACCGATAGCATAATGAAGCTGCTATTCTTTAAATCACCTCAAGATTCAGGACTTATCCAGACAGAGCATTTGTTCTCCTTTTGTATCTGGTGTATTGCTGATGATTTCAGTATTTTGATTGCTGTCCACACAACCCATGGAGTGTCTTGGTACCAACAGTGGCAAAGAGTAATACAAGTTCTGGCTTTCTGTGCCTTTAAAACCATCTTATATAGGTGTTCATTTATTTCACTTTATACTGGGAATGGAGCAGAGGGGGCAAGGTTGGACATTCACAGATTTCCTGGGGTTGGAAGCATTATATAATCCATACACACAAAAACCAAAAACACTCAACAGAGAAGATAATCATAGGATTTCTTCCAGATCATTTAAAGAGGAGTTGTTACAGACACAGCTGATTGTCAAAGTGGGTTATCAAGGGCTCAGAGTAGCTCAGCAGCTTTCAATCTTAGCACAAATCTACTAAGGGAAGGGGGCTGGACACACAGATACAGCAAAGAAAATCATCTTTAAACAATTTCTTAAAACTTTTTTAAAGCATTTTTAGAAGACAGCTGTTTTCTAAAGTTGATTAGCAGGATGGGCCCATATCCAAGCACTCCCACAGAAAGGTTTCCTTTTACCAAGTGAGGGTAGGGACTAAAGATACAGCAGAAATATCATTTTAAAGGGTCAGTTCAACTTTTTTGAAATATTTTTCAATTTTTTTTTCAAAGGTGCTGATATCTTAAAAGTGGGATTTTCAGAATAGTTATGGACAGAAATCCGATTAAGAGCTGTGCTCAAATACGACTAGGTGGCAAAAACCAGTATAAAGCAGGGAGAATAGATGATCTGTTTAGACAGGCCATGGAAGTTGTTTATATATGTAGATATATTTATTATAATTAATCACATTATTATTTACTTATAAATAACAGCATTTCAGATGAGATTCAGATATTTCGATTGCACAGTCATTTGGATGATTATTTAACTTGAGAGTTGAGAGAGACATACTTAAAGGAAGTAGCGAAGTGCTTTTGCCACTCAAGCCAGGTGCCTCTTTCTTCCAGAGTGGTTATTGATGTAGAGATGCCATTGATTCCCTTCTTTCCCTTAACAGAAGCGGTTGATGGTATACCATCCATGGTGGGCTTAGGCCAGCTTCCTCAGTCTCCCAGAGGCCTCCTGGCTGCTCCTCTTAATCCAAATGCACAAGCGCTAAGCTCAAGGAAGATCCGTTTCAACTGGTTACCACCTCCTGGGAAACCTGCGGGATACAAGGTATGGATGGAGATTAGATGCCATAGCTGCTGGTGAGCTGATTATCTACAGACAGAGTAACAGTCATGTTCTACCTCAGGCTGCTTGCCCCCACCCTTCTGACACTCACCAACAGGGCAGACATTTGGTCCCATCTGGCAGTGTGTCACTTGCTAACCAAATAGAGCTTGCCTGTGTTTTCCAAGGGAAGTGCGGCTGGCACTTTTGAATGGGACAAGAGCTGAGTAGCATCAGCGTAGTTCCATTTCAGGGGCATCACTACCCTCTTGGGGGGGGGTGTCAGGGGAGAGCTCATGAGGTAAGTGGCTGACTGTTGTGCTGGACCATCATCTCCTGCAATGCCAGTGGTCAGTGCACTGCAGGAGTAGGTGGGGAGTAAGTGAGTCTTCCTAAGCCCCTCATCCATGCCAGCCCCAGATGTCAAACCTTTTACCTCATTTCAAACAGTCAGCAACCACGTGTCTCCCCTGCTGCCCCACAGCAGGTAACTCTAGAAGAAATAGAAGGAATCCTGCCTCTTCGGTCCTTGAGGTGAAGCAGTCTACTGATTGATTTAAGGTATATGTTGGGTAGGCAAATTACAGCCCCATAGACTGTTTTTGCAATCCCTAGCTTTCCCCTGGCTCTTTCTTTTTCTAGCAAAAAAAGCTGAATTGCACTCCTGGATGCCTCCAGGGATAGCTATTCAACTCTAAAATAGAGTGTACATATTTTTTTCAATCTTACACATCTGGTATTACACAAGCTATGAGCTAAGATAAGCCAGTAGGTTGGAGCACCTGGCTGAAGAGCCAGGGCTGGAGTTTGAACCCTCACTGTGCCTCCAGAGAGAAGGACCAACCAAGATTATTTGGAGCACATGTAGTGATGGGCTTATGTGCCCCGTCACCTGTACAACCTTGGGCAAGCTACATGGTCCCAGAAGGCCACAGTAGATCAATCCTGAGTGCATTCTATCTAGCAAACCCTGGGAGGATAACCGTAAGTCAGAATAAGCTTGATGGCACACAATTTATCATTAAGATTCCTGATAAAAAAAATACAAAAGCTATCTTCAAATAGGAGACTAGATTCAAAAAGTTTCAATACATCAAGCAAAAGAAACTCTGAAATTAATTCTCTGAAGTTGTGGCATATCTTCAGAGGTTAATTAATGTGTGCATGTGTGTGCGTGTGTGTTCTGGGAAACATCATATTTTAGAGTGAAAATATTTTATTTAATTAAAAGATATTTCTAATTACTGTATACAGTGCCTATTGCTTCTGGTGGCTTAAAACTTTGAAAACAAAGGGTATTCTCATTGGGCTGTAGGTAAAATACTGGATCCAAGGAGACCCTGAATCAGAGGCTCACTTGCTCGATTCGAAAGTACCATCAGCAGAGTTGACTAACCTGTACCCCTACTGTGACTATGAGATGCAGTCCTGTGCCTACAATGCCATGGGGGAAGGGCTTTATTCAGAAGTGGTTCACTGCCGTACACTTGAGGAAGGTAAGTCAGCACTTTCGAGTGGTACATGTAGAGCATCACTAAGCTGGGCATGATGTTTTGGACAGAGGGAACGCCGACCCTCATTATCTTCCTCCCTAGTTACCCCAAAGTTTTTATTTTTTTAAAAAAAACCTATTGATTTTAACACTAAATCGCCTTATCACTATACTGACTAGTTTAGTGCTAGATCACATCTGCATGGACTTACCCCAAAGTTTTTATTTTTTTAAAAAACCCTATTGATTTTAACACTAAATTGCCTTATCACTATACTGACTCGTTCACATCTGCATGGACAAAAAAATGAGATAAAAATCAATATGAAATAGAAACAACTCTGACAAACTGTGATATGTGTGCATGTGTTTCTATGTTTTGGAGACTTTTGGAAAACTGTCCCTTTTCCCTAATGCTATGCAACACTTTATTTATTTGTTTGTTTAAAATATTTTTACCTCCACCTTTCTCCTTGAAAGAACGCACCGACTTTACAGTGAACCAGACAGAGTTCATTAAGTATCCCATTGACTTTACAATGGACCATAAAAGGAGAGCTGGGGATTGGCAGAGGGCAGGATCAAAGGAAGAGGGGATGTGGGTAGTGATGTGGATAAAACCGCATCAGACTGAGGAACACTGACACCAAAACAGTGCGCAGTTTCCATGTGGTCACCTAATCTGAACAGAAGCGTAAAATAGGCAGTGAATCAAACTGCAATAAAATCAAAATGCTCTGATTCAACTTGTCAGTGTAATCACAGCCTTAATTTTCTTTCTGCCTTTCTGGCAAAATTACTTTCAAAATATAATTGTGATCTCTTATAGTCTAAGCCGCATGATATAGTTACAATTGTAGTTGCCGTTATTAAAAAACAACTTCTGTGTTTCTTAGGAATACACAGAATACATGCTTCTAGGTATGGCCAGCCACTGGTCTGTGATTTCAGTACAAAAAGACATTCGAATCCACTTGGTTGTCTCACCAAAATTCACAACAGGGTACAAGACAGGACTTGAACCAAGTGATATTCTTCCGTCTTATAGTTAGGCCATGTGAACTTGAATATAATTGGAAAGTTGCAGTTACAATACAAAAAGAACAAAGTTATTCCTTGTTAAGTTACACCTTGTAATATGACCTAGCAGCAGCAACTGGATATTTGTTATCAGTTACTTTCCTTCCTCTGGTTTTTAGATGAGAACATTACTGTTGAAGGCACTGTTGCCAACACCACCACCACAAACCACTAGCCTATAGACCAAACTAATCCTATCATCTTTATGAGGATTGGCACTTTATTCTTCCAGGAATATTAGAGTTTTTAGCACCTGATTCATGGGATCTGATTTAAAAGGACTATAGTCTTAATTATTTTACAGCATGTGGCAGGGTGAGGTCTATATAAAACTACCCTAGCAAGTTTTATTTTGAGATTGTGTATGCAACCCACCTCCCCTGGGGTTGCTGCTCATAGTCCATCCACTGCTTTAGGTGTATCCCAATAGTCTTTTTCTGTTTGCCACTAAATCATTGTTTTGTTTTCTATATTTGCAGTCCCTAGTGAACCTGGACGTTTGGCTTTCAATGTAATTTCCTCCACTGTGACACAACTGAGCTGGGCTGAGCCGGCCGAGACTAATGGAGTGATCACAGCCTATGAAGTTGGCTATGGACCCGTCAACGAGGAAAACAGTAAGTCTGGGTTCTGTTCACTCCCTTTATTGTGCCACTATTTTGAAAGTTATGGCATAAATCCAGTGGTTTGTCCCAACTTGAGTAGACCAATGGCATCAGTAGAACTTAAATAAGTGTTGACTTACAAGATCCCATTGATTCAGTGGATTTCCTCTAGCCGGGATTAAAAACTGTACCAAGCTGTACTGATCAGCACTTTTTAAATAGCTATTCCGTTGTGTTATGTTGAGAGAACATTGATGTAAGCTGTCATTTTTTCACTCTTATGGAAGCAGAAGTTGGTCCAGGCTATGAACATCAGGTGATCGCGAAGTGGAATTCCCTTTTTAACTGAGTGCATTAGGATTCTGTGCTCATTTTGGTGCTCAGAAGGCAGGAAAGTAGGTGTACTAGGGGCTTTTTCTACCCTCCAAGAGGAAGAATGGTTCCACTCACACCATGACCGTGATACAGATATATGAATCGGTGACTGGAGGGCTGGGAAACTGAGAAGTATTTTAAGTAATTATACAATTGCAATGGGATGATGAGGGAAATGGTCGAAGCAGAGCTTGAATATTGGAACAATTCAAGCCAACAGCATGCTACCCATTACTACCTTCCTTTGTTTTTAATACTCCCTCAGACTCTGTGTTAATGGTTACTTTGGGACTATACTTCTATGCAGACGTTAGCTTAAATCCAAGACAGATGGTTAGTAGCCAAGCGGCAAAAACTGTCCGAACAGGAAAAGACACTGCATACTCTTTTTTTTCCCTTTAGGACCCATTGGGCCAGTAAAGAAAGTCATGGTAGAAGAGTCTAAGAAGCGGATGGTCCTCATCGAAAACCTAAGAGAGTCTCAGCCCTATCGCTACACAGTCAAGGCCAAGAATGGAGCTGGATGGGGGCCTGAAAGAGAAGCAACCATTAACTTGGCCACACAACCCAAGCGCCCCATCTCCAGTGAGTGGCAGCCACGTTTCTTCTGTGCTGAATGTTTTTGACTTGAAACGATGCTCCTTGAGCAGCATACTCAAGGGGTCTCCCCGAAAAGTCTGCACTTCTTTTGTGAGGCTATTGCCTAACAGTACTGTAGTAGTAGTAGTAGTAGTAGTAGTAGTAGTAGTAGTAGTAGTAGTAGTAGTAGTAGTAGTAGTAGTAGTAGTAGTAGTAGTAGTAGTAGTAGTAGTAATAAATTCTTCAAGTCAGTTCTGACTTATTTTCAGAGCTTTCTGGCTAGACTCAGAAGTTGTTTACGATTCCTTTCCGGGGGTGCCCTGGGACTGTGCAGCTTGCCCAAGGCCACACACTGGCTCTCCTTGCAGGAAGTACAGTGGGGGGAATCAAATTCTCAACCTCTAGCTCCACAGCCAGATACCTAACTCACTGAGCTATCCAGCCAGCTGTTGTAAGAGTACAGCACCAAATGTACTTGAGGAGAACATCATATTGATGTCACAAGCACTTGCAAGTTATTCTTAATGCTAGTAATAAGTGTCAAAATGTTTATGAGCATGCTTTTTTAAATTAAAAAAAAGAGTTTTCCTTAGCAACTGTGCCCTTCTCCAATGTGCAGCCCATGTGCTGGTGTATTTATCTTTAAAAAAAAAATATTAAAGAGCTCCATGGCTGGCTAGCCATCCCAATCTCTCAACTCTGTCACTCTGGGGCTCTCTCCCATCCTTCAGGAAGATTCTAGCTTGACAAAGGAGCTTCTAATGTGATACACCATAAAATTTGATCTGGTGCCTGAAGCATGATATTCAGTGAGCTATAATATAATACTATGGATACTGGATCAAACCTTATGGTGCAGTGCATTAAAGATGAAATATGAGTGGGACTCACTGAGTTTGAGAACATGGGAAAGGCCTTACTAATGCTAAATTCTGCCTTCTTGCAGTTCCCATTATCCCTGATGTGCCAATAATTGATGCGGAAGAAAGAGAGGAGTATGACAGCTACCTAATGTACAGTACGGATGTGATGCGTTCACCTGCTGGTAGCAAACACCCCAGCGTTTCGGATGATTCTGGTACAGTGTGCATTGCTGCAGTTTGCAAAAAAATTTTTTTTAATTAAATTCATAGTGGTTTAAGAGAAGTGAGTATTAGAAGACAAGAAACAACATCTCTAAGCTAGCAGAAAACTGTTTGAACTTACAGGGCCATTCACTAGTCAGAAAGGGCAAAAAATGCCTAATTCTAGGACAAATGTATTTCAAGGCAGACTCAGTGTTGTGCTTTGTGGAGAAGGCTGTGTTTAGTTTCTCCAATCTGGCCTCCAGATAAATAAAAAATGGACAGCTTGTAAGCAATTTTATATTGGTCTGTGCCATAGCAGGCAGTCTTAGGATATTATTACCTGCATAATCAGTGGCACTAGGATGCAGTTAGCAGAAGTGGTTTTTACCCATCCAGTTGTGCTTGTGAGGGTCTGTTAAGTATCTGGTTGACCCCTACAGAAGGCAGGATGCTGGAGAAGGTGCCTTTTGGGTCTGATCCATCATGGCTCTTGTCTTATTCTTATGAATTAAAAATATATTCTGTGGACACATCATCAACCAGAGAACTTTGAGAAACCTGTGATCTTTGAAATAGTTTTATATACGCTTTCTTGAACTAGATGGCTGTCAGAGCATATCTGGTGGCTACTTTGCATTAAATACTTCATACTTTGTCTATTTAAAGGGTAGAATGTCAGCAGCAGAGACTTTTGTTCAGTTGTTTGCAATACTCTAGTAATTGTATAGACCAATTAACCATTTCTGTAGCTCAGGCTCATTTGCTTTACATAGCTCATTAAAAATGTCATACATGACCTAATGACATATTGGCTGAAATCCTGTTGCATGTTCCATATGCACAGTTGGGCTAATGTCATCACCAGCAGCAAATCCCTGCCAATTAAAGGCAAATCACTGATTAAAGACAATTTTGCATATGCCTTGTACCCAATGAGATGAAGTGACATGCACCCCCCAAATCACCAAGAGAAGCCTTTAATCAGCAGCAATTTCCCTCCACTTATGACATCATCACCATTACGCCTTTAATCAGCAGCAATTTGCCACCACTTATGACATCATCACCATTATACACACAGAGCTGGGCAACAGGATTTTGGCCAGTATAAAATAAAATGAGTGAAGATTTCGTGACTTAACATTTAAGTCATTTTATATTGTTGTGTTTTATGTTTATCGATAAAAACAATATTTAAAAAATAGTATATAGGAGACAATAATCCCAGCCCAATCATCTGGATCAAGGCAAGAAGCTCTGTTGCAGTTGTAGGAGTTATTGCTGGCATCAGCCGAACCTCACCGGCATAGCTTTCCTATTCATTTCACTGCAGTGAATGAAACAGATGCAGGTGCTCTTGGTGTGAATTAGAACGTGCAGGGGGGTCTCTGGCTTCCTCTCCTGTCTACAATGAAGAGTGAAGCTCTCCATGGACTCCAACTTCCTGTAAACCTATCCTCGTTGATTTTGTTACATTTTTTTTCATTTAACTTTATGAGCTTCACTTTCCTCACCTGAGAATCTTGTCGTATTATTTATGTGGCTACAGTAGAGAAGCACATTCATGTTTCCTATTCTGTGGTTAAACTATTTCCTTTTTTAAAAAAAAATGCTAGAACCAATGTTTTAAAAACAGCCGCCATCTTGGAAGTCTTCAAAGCCTGTCCATCTCTAGATGAAGGTTCATTTCTACAGAGTGGTTCTGACATTCACTTGCTGCCCTGGCTCCTGGTCAGGGAATCCTAGATATGTTGTGGGAAGAGGTTCTAGTTATTAAATGCTTTACACGCTCAGAAGCTTTACATGCTCAGTTCACTCTTGCCATGTTTCAAGGGTGAAACCTACCACTGAAAGCAGATTGGGTGGGAGAGAGTTATGGCTCAAATGAAAGCTCAGGTAGATCCCAGGTCACAAGTGATAGTTATGTTGAACTAATCCTCAAATCATTTATTCCTTTGAAATTAGTTGTTGTAGGTTTTTTTCGGGCTGTTTGGCCGTGTTCTGAAGATGCCGGCCACAGAGACTGGCAAAACGTTAGGAAGAAAAACCTCCAGAACACGGCCAAACAGCCCGAAAAAACCTACAACAACCATCAGATCCCAGCCATGAAAGCCTTCGAGAATCCTTTGAAATTGTTAACCTCTTGGCAAACCTTTGGCCCACCTTACCAGATTAATGAAATGAACACTCCAAAATAAAGATGTAAATTAAATGGTGGTGTGTTAATTAATTTGGAAGCACAGATGCTCGCCATGACAGTCTCCATAGTTACCACTCACCCACATATACAAACGAGAGTCCAAAAATACATGCAACTGGACTGGTCTTTATAAACAAATGGGGAGAAGGTCTTTGGTATGCTTAATTACTTTTAGTCGCCCATTCAAGACCAAAATGCAACGAAATAGTTTGTATTCCTAAAGGAATATCTTGCAACAATTTACTGTTCCAGGATAAACCAATTTCTCTCCCACCTGCTAGGAAGATTATAGTGAGGCAAAGTGGAGGGGAGCCTTGAGTGAGTGGGTGGCAGATGATGTCTTAGCCCTATTACTCAAAAATCCCTTGGATCTAACCTTGTTGAGCCCTGGCCCCATTATACTACCAGAAAGAAAATGAGAGAGAGCGATTAAATGTTGTTCCTGCCCAAGTTTCATAGTTTTCCCCTTCAACAGTAACTCCCCTTTCTAGTTCCAGATTATTTTCACTGCCAGGAAGACTGAAATTTTAAAAGAACTTTTGAGCATTGTATCAGTTGCCCAGCAGCCAACGGAGAATGCAAAGGAAGCTGCATTCCAGGGTTCATTTCATTTTTGGCAAGGTGGGCCAAGGCAAAACATGATGCCAGTGAGATCTTCTCTCTCATTCTGTTGTTTGTGAAGGAATGAATTTTGTCTTGCAAGACATGCCCATCTATTCCCGGCATTAAAAAGTTGTTAGACTACATATAATGGAAGGCCCTAAAAGGTATTAGCTATGTGCTTCCACCCAGAACTCCCTAGTCCATACCAGCTCCTGTGAGCTGAGCTATGAGGAGGGGAAAGCCACAGCAGCAACAGGCTTGGATTAATATTCCATTATGTCAATCATTTTCATTTCCACTGGAGGGGAGAGGAGAAAAAGTTAGTACAGAGCCAATTAAAATATCTCAAAGGTTAAAATAATAATAAACTTCATTTTAAAATGTTTGTTTTTCAGCATCAGTATGGTTTAAGGTTATGTTTTGAAGAAAGTGTGTTTTGAAGTGGCTCCGTTTGCCAAGGCAAGGATGCTGCTTAATAAAGCCCTGTTCCTTGTAATTGTTTCCTTCCTGTCATTGGTATTCTTCAAAGAAGACTGTCAGTTTCCTTCCGCTCTCCTTCATGTAGTCCCCATGGGGTGTCCCTCCCGCAGATGGCCTGTGTACTGTTCTGTACAGATTCTCCTGACCATTTCCTTTGTTTCTTCCCTCTTTAAACTTCCGCAGTTTAGCTTTTCCTCTTTTGTGGGCGTGGGTTCATTTTTAGAAACAGTTTAGATGGCCTGTATCAGCTGATCCATGGCTTATATGTGACTGGGCCAGCCACTCCAATAGATACAGGCAATGTCTGGAATTCTCTTGCACAACTTAACACTCTTGTGCAATGGTGATGACATTATCAGTCACAACCATTTGGAGGCACATTAAAGGCTTACTGTTCCCCCCTCCCCCCCAGTTCTGGGGATCGCTAGGTAACCTTTCATCAGAACCACAGAATGGGGGAGAGAACTCTAATGCCAAAAAAATGACCACTAGCGATCCATAAAGGAGCTTCATGGCACAGGAGTTAAATTGCAGTCAAGACTCTGCCCATGAGTTTAATCCTGGGCTCAGGTAGCGGTCTCGAGGTTGACTGAGCCGTCCATCCTTTTGGGGTCAGTAAACTGAATTGGGGGGGAGGGGCAATGTGCAGCCTGCATAATTAAATTGCAGACCACCCAGAAAGGGTTCCAAGCACTATGGGGTGGTATATAACCAACACACTTTGTGTAATTCCTGGGAATGGACCAAAATGGATCCTTGGAGCTGTTAGAGCTGTCAATTTATGATTTTGTGAAGTGGCTTAATAAGGATATTTACTTTGCTTTATCATAGAACAAAAGGGTCCCTAGGAGGTCCCCAGAGTATGCAGGAGGAATAGGAGGTTTTTTCTGTAATGTCTCCCAAATGGCTGCAGCGGATGACATCATCACAGTTGTGAAGTGTAGTTACGCAATAGGAAGCTGGCCAATGAGTATGCCTGGTGCTATATTTGTCTGGATGGGATTGCCATCCCCATCTGAACACTTTTCACTTCTCATTTCCTTATATCACTCTGTTTACCTCAGGAAAAGAATTTCTCTCTCTGTTTGAGCTGCTAATCTAATGCAGTTGTTAAGGACTAGAGCATAGCAAGACTGGAAGATTCTCCCACTGGCTGTTCTCCTGCTGAAATCCAATGCACACTTACTTGGGAATCGGCATTTCTGAATTCAAATGAAACACATTTCTAAGTGGGCATGCCCTGGATAGTGGAACCCTTTTCCTCTGAAGTGAATACATAAATCAAGATGTGAAGGGCGATGTGGTTCAAATATGTACTTAGGACAGTTTAAGAAATCTGTTCTTGTTCTGAGTCCTCAGCCATGCTTAGAGACGCTGAAGTTAACCCAAGTTGAAGCACTTCCTATTGCATGGCGCTGTCCCTGAAATGGGGTGTTGGCTTTTCTTTGCTTCTCTTTCTTCAGTTCTTGCTCCCATTGAATTCCCTTTAGGCCAAGCCCATTATCTTTTTACAGTGACACCCTCAGCTACCATTTGTAGAATGCAGAGGAGGTAGTAACTAGACTCAAATTGGTAGAAGTCAGACAGCTACCATTTGTAGAATGCAGAGGAGGTGGTAGTAACTAGACTAAAATTGGTAGAAGTCAGCGGGTGGGCCTTGTGTATTTCGAGAACACACCCATCTTTCTTGCTTATGAATTGGATGCTGGTTCAATTAGAACGCTCTTGGCAAGTCTGCTGCACACTTTAATGTAAGTCTGTGCTCGGCAGTGGCTTCAAGGAAGGCTGCAGGCTGCTTGCAGGTGGTGGGCTGCCTCCTTTCCTACCCTTAGTTGTGCCCTCCCTTCCCTTCCGACCGTGCCAATGCCAGTACTTCACTTGTTCCAAAAGGCTCTCGGTGGAAATATGTGCAGCTGCTGGGCGACGAGCTGGACCTTCGCCGCGTCGCCTGGAGGCTCCCAGCAGAACTGATCCCTCGTTACTCGGACAGCAGCTGCTTTTCCTCGGATACAGAGGGTCTCCTCCATGAGGATAGCACCCACTATGAGCTGGTCGACAGTGAGGCAGCCAGCAGCAGTCTACCAAGGAGTGGGACTCCCCGGCCCCAACCAGGTGAAGGACGACTGCCTTCCTCTGTCCCAGTAGTGGTCGTGTCTCATCTTCCTCCCAGAGCCTGGAGCCCAGTTTTGCTCTCTCCACCCTTACAGTAGACACACGTTTTTGTTGGTGTTGATATCAGTGTCGTCACAATAGAGTTGACCAGCTGTAATAGAATTTGCTTGCAGTGTGTTGTTGTTTTTTGTCTATGTATAGAGTGCCAAGCGTAGACTGCAATGGGAAACTGCTAAGAGATGGCATTTGTCAGGAGCACGTTCCCCTCCCCCAAGATTAGCAGAAAAATAATCAGAGTAGTTTATTACAGGCACCCTCTGAAGGGCATGGTAAGAGGTACCCACTTGGCCAGCCCTGTTTGTTGAACGACTTGAACAGGAAGAGATTTTCAGAGAGCATCCAAAGGGAGGAGGGAAGAGGGCTGACTGCTGTTGTATTAAAAAATCATTTCTAATGCTAAATAACCTACTGTTAAATGTGGATACCTTTCTCATAGTAAAACCAGATTCTGAAATGGAGCTAATGAGGACTGGCTTCTCTAACTGGGCAGAGTAACGGTGTGCCCAGAAATCTGCTAGGCAGTCAATATATTAGTCAAGGCAGCGCTCTGAAACCTTTTATGCTGAAAGAGTATTTCAGGGGGATTCTAATCCCAGACAGGTTAAGGACTGCCTTCTGGGACAGTTCAAGGTTCCTCCAGGGAATAATTCTCTGTTTCATCAGCCGTTACTCTGCGTTTAAGGCATTCCAACCACTTTTTGGAAATTCAGTGTGTTTCTAAGATCAGTTAGAAGAAACTAGTGCTTTTCAGGGGCCCATTGTCATGTGTTTTCAACATGTTCCCCCTACCTAGTCCTGCATTGTTTACAGCAGTAGATAATGTGATGTTACTGACATCTTAAAAACAATGCTATTCCCAGTTGTTTGTTCCTGGAGGCTATAATGCTACTGTCATGGCAAAGAGCTTTTATTGTACCTGTCTTAACATGAATTTGTCTAAAGAACTTTACAATGTTTCTAACCAATTGATTAAGGTTGTATTTCATCCTTCTGTATGGTTGAAATCAGGCTTCAACATATGAATGCTTATTTCAAAGTGGGTTTAAACTGTGCCAAAATGTTTCTTTTCTGGGTTCTCCCATACAGTCAGTGCAGCAGTTAAATATGTGGCATCACACCCGAGCATTCTTTGCTCCATTTTTAATTGTGCTCTGGATCTGTCTATTCTGTTCTAAATAACATCTGGATGCAGTTAAAGGACTGGTGCTACTTTAGGCATTGTGGGTTGAAGTGGGGATGTCTGGGTGTCTCTGTGTTTATTATGGGGCTTACTACAGCCCAAGAAGTACATTTCAAGACTTGCAGCTAGAGAACAGAATAAAACCTAATGGAAACATTTCAAGGCAGGTTCAGGTTAATGAGTTTGTTGCATCTATATGCATAGATGCTGATGTTGTTAACATAAATGGCCTTAATCTTTTCCAGAACACATGATGAATGGGCGAATGGATTTCACTTACCCTGGCAGCATTGGAAGCCTGACCCGGAATGTGACATCCAACTCCACCTATCTAAGTCCACACATACATCATGAGAGGAGGGTCATAGGAAATTCCTCTCTGACAAGGGAGTATACAACAATGATGTCTGGATATGGTGAGTGTTCAGATGAGCTTTATTCCTCAGCCAGAGAGCAAATGTGTCCATGGGAGATGGTGAAGTTCTCTCCAATCCTCTGCCACAAGCAACAATTTTCTTCAATGTAATAGCCTTCAGTCTGGACAAGTTTCAAGTTTCTCATGTCAACATAGAACAGATCTTTCTCTCTGTCTCTCCCTCTTCCTGCCCATCTCCGGCCTGAACTTGGTGCTTCCCTAAATATCATCCCCAAGCTTCAACCTCACTGTAAGGACAGAATATTCATCCCTTTTCTTACAGGGTTTACTAAAGAAGAGCTTTCAAAATCATAATGACATTCTAAGTCTTTCCTTTATTCTTCAGCGGGTGGTGTGTTGGTACCTGCAACTTTTTCTATAGCTCCATGGTTGCCTTCTGCCTTTAAGTGTCTTAAGTGCCAGTGCATCCTTTTGGGTAAAGGAAGCAATTTTCCCACCCCCTGCTCTGACTCTTCCCTGTGACACTGTTGTGCTTGGCATGGGTGCATTCATCTCCTCTGCTGTGATGTTTTCAATGGTGCTTCTCTCTGTCTCGTTTTCTGTCTTTCCTTCTGTTTTGCTTGTTCCTGTAGACCATTCCAGGAGGAAGTTCCCTCCCATACATGAAGATGCTGGGAGGACGGTCTTGATGCCAAAGGATGTGGGCTTCATGAGGGCAAAGGTGAAGGGTTACTATGGCAACAGTGATGCTCGGGATTCTATAATCATGACTGATGGGCCCTCCTGGATTTCCAGCTACCTAGGTACAGCAAATGATGCAGCATGGCTCATTGGCTCCTGGATGTTATCCCCAGCTACAGTGGTTCCGCCCATAACCAACTAATGTATCATCCATAGGTGGATATACATGTGCATATGCTTCCTTGCCCTTACTGCTTCTTCACTATGTCAACTTTCATTTGCAAGCTGCATCAGTTCCCTTATTACATGACTGACTAATGCTTTGACTTCATGTGATGTCTTCAGCTACCTATGTGCTTCATCCTTAACCACTTAGTTGTTCCATGCCTGTATGTCCATCTCCCACAGGCTTACCACTGAGAAGTGGCAGGGAGAACAGTACAAAATGTCCCCTTTGGATCTCATTTGCAAAAAATAGGCAGATGACTGGAGTTCAAATGTTGCTATTAATGTTGTTGGTTTCTTCAGTAGCCATCTTCAGCTTTAAATCTCGTAATTTCCTCCTAGTTTCAAAGCTGCCCCCTCCATGAAGGGTAGTGCCTTTCCATGGTTGGAACATCTAATTTGAGAAGGGACAGGTGCTTCTTAGGGTTGCCCCCCTATCAGCTTCATAGAATCACAGAATAGCAGAGTTGGGAGAGACCTTGAGAGCCGCCTCATCCTCCTGTCCCCTCACCAAGGCAGGAAATTCCAGCTTAAGCATCCCTGACAAATGGTCACCCAATATTGGTTTGGAATCCTCCATCACCTTCTCAAGAAGTCTATTCTACTGTTGAACAGAAGTTTATTCCTGCCTGGTTTATTCTATTTGATATAAGTTTATAGCCTATTTTTCAGAGTAAATTTCTTTGCAAAGTGGATTACAACTTTAAAACAGAACACAAGAGCTTTTAATAGTTCCCTCAAGTTCCTTTAATGCATCTCACTCAAGGCTGGACTAAATAAGGCAGCAGATTCTCAGTTAGAAGCAGAGCTGCCTTAGGAAGTAAGACACTGACGGTTGCTTGTCTAACTAAGAACATTCCCACCTGTAAATCTTTGAGTAGTATCAAGAAGACAGAGGAGTTCTTCGTGAATTGGTGGTGAACAAACAGGGCTTCTATCATGCCCAAGACTCTGTGTCGACAGCACTGATGCCAGTGATGCCATTTTGTTTCTCTGTGCAGGCATGTCAGGGCAAGGCACACAACCCCATGTCCATTATGCTGTTCCCCAGAAGGCCAGGGGCCGCACTCACTCCGAAGATGTCCGTGAAGCACTGGGCAGGCTGGACACGGTGCTTCTGGGTGAGTGAGCTTGACCCTGGCCTCTGCATGGGACCTTCCTGGGCCCCTGAGTTCCAGGATCTAGGGCGAGGAGAAAGAAGATGAGGCGTGGTGAAACGAGTCAAGCCTTTTGACTGGGGAAAGGGGCATTTGCTAGGTGGAATCTCTTTTTTATAATTACTGATATAATTACTGTATTGTTATTTTGGAGCCAGCAAATTCCTTTTCTAAGACAGAGCGTCCTTAACCTAATGCACAAAAAGTGTAACCAAGGCGCCATTTTGAGGAACTCCTCTAATGCATCCTGTTGCTTAGCCCAGCTCTTCACTTCAGCATCTGTAATATTCCTAGCTAGATTCTTAGCTGGGGTGACCAGCCCTTTGGTTTACGAGGTGACATTGTGTTTGTTCTCCTTGGACTCAAAAGCTGCCATGTCATGCTCATGTACAAGTCCCGCTATTCTCTCTTCCTTGCCTTTGCATCAACCCCCCCCCATCACTTCATGTTTCTACCCCAGATTCCAAGACGCAACAGGGTGTTCCTGACACCCCTACCCGCCTGGTGTTCTCTGCTTTGGGGCCCACCTCTCTGAAGGTCAGCTGGCAGGAGCCACAGTGTGACAAAGAAGTGCAGGGGTACAGCGTACAGTACCAGCTCCTCAGTGGAGGTCAGTGAAGCTTTTCCTGTTGTTGATCAGCCTTTTGTCATTATAATCTTCAAGGGGAAAAAAATCCTATTTTGTCAGAAGATGTAATCATAGAGAGATCAGTGTCACCTTGGAGTAAAAAGCGGAAAGACTTTAAGACGTGCTTTGAGAAATCATTTGTTATCTTCTCACTCCTTATTTTGTGGCTACAAGTAAGGCTCACCACTCACAGAGCAGCTTCAGATGTGGGAAATGGATTCAGCCACTTTCTGAAGATCCAACACTAAGTTCATGTCACTCCTCTCCATCTAGATTTATGTTCACTCGAGATTCAGGAGAGGCCAGACCTTGGAATATTTACTTTTTTTGGCCTAACATTCCTAATGTCTCCCAGCATGGGGGGCATGCTAGCCTGGGAGATTTGGCCAGGGGCAGTCTAAAAATGGTAACATTCCAGGCCCTGAGGGAGCATCTCTTCAGCGATGGGCATTTGAAGCCCATAAACAGTGGAAGAGACAGTGTAAGCTGCTTGAATTTATTTGAGCCCTCAGTTAAGGGAAGGAAATGAGCAGAAAAATTCGGATCATGAAACTTAGGAGTCACCTAGATTCCAATTTCCTCCCACATATTGGGGAATGACTGTTGTGTAGAAAACAGCATGAATCCTATGATTCGAGGCATAGTGAAAATACTCACATCTGTTTCGTCATAGCTGAGCATGGTGGAAAGTGATGCAACCTCTAATAGCATAACCACAAAAAAAGGGGCAGCATCCTTGGGATAAAACTGCAGGGCCCCTAAATGGTTCCGTGGGCAATTACTGATTATTATTAATAGCTGAATCTACACATTTCCCTTATAGCCACCAATTAAGTTTCTTCTAAGTTGTAACTGAAAACCCTGGGCTCATAGAAGGGACTTTCTCACCTAGAATAGGAAGGGGAACCATGCACTCGGCCCATGATAATGAGCAATTAAGAAAGAATGCGTATTGTACTTGATTCCCTACCAGATGATTGCAGCAGCTTTGTCTTTTAACCCCAGTGGCTGCTGGAAGTGAATGCTGTGTCTTTTCTCTCATTTCCTAGGAGAAATACGGAGGCTGACCATTCCCAGCCCCACCCAGAACTCTGTGGTGGTTGATGACCTGCTGCCAAACCACTCCTATATCTTCAAGGTGAAGGCCCAGAGTGATGAAGGATGGGGTCCAGAGAGAGAAGGTGTGATCACCATTGAATCCCAAGTGGATCCACGTAGCCCTCTGAGTCCCGTTCCAGGTAAGGTGGCCTCCACTGCTTACTAGGAGTCCCCTAGCACAAGCTTCCTATTCATATGCTCCTGCCTCCCCAAAGATTTAGCTTGTCTTTGGCCACAATTTCCAGGTACCGCATCTCTTTGGAAGGGATCAAAGTAGGAGCACACTCTCTCTTCATGAGTGTTGTGGCACTGCTGTTTAGTTTCCTGAGAGCTTCGGCTGCTGTTTTTAAGGAGCATGTTGCTAGCTTTAATTGTTTCAAAGAACTGAAAAGTATATGGGTAAGCTTAGGAACAGAATAGAAACTTGGGCCAGGCCTTGAGGAAGTCACTATCTTCTATCCACAGTCCCCTGTCCTGTTGTTCATTCTAGTCAGAGTTTGGAAAAAAATTCCTTTTCTCTGACTATAACTCCCAAAAATCCTCCAGCCAGCATGAATGTGCTTTCCAAATTCATTGTAAAAGATAGAAAATAAACACTGGCAATTTTTTCAAGTTTTAGGTTTTATATTTTTTTAATGTGACATGTCAAAGTGGGTAAATTTCAACTTCCAGCGTTTACATGATGGCACAGTAAGACAGGATGAGCCTGCATATGCAAGAATTTCTTATGGGCAAGCAGAGGAGAGGGCATGGCTCTGTGTGAACAATGCTGGTGGGACTTGAACTAGAGTCACAATCCCACATATCAGTGCTTGCTGCCCACTTGATTCTGACTTCTTTGTTTTTAATGCTCTTAGGTTCTCCATTTACGCTGAGCACACCCAGTGCCCCTGGGCCCCTGGTATTCACAGCCCTGAGTCCGGACTCTCTTCAGCTGAGCTGGGAGAGACCCCGCCAGCCCAATGGGTTAATTCTCGGCTACATGGTCACCTGCGAGACACTGCATGGTGGGGGTAGGTGAACGTTCTCAAACAAGTAAGCATTCAGTCACGGAGTCTCCAGAACACGTGCACAGCACTTCCTCACAGAAACAGGGGAGCCTAGGAAGACGGCTGCGCTCTTGTGTCCCCCAGCCAGGTTCACAGGAACCACTGAATGAAGTGCCTGACAGAGTGGAATGGGCAAAGTGGGTGGTTGTCTCTCTATCTCTGATAGGAGTCTGCTGTTTATTCTCCAGCTGTCTCCAGCTGCTCCTTATCTTTATGTTTACTTAGGTGAACCCAGGAATATCTACGTAGAGGGAGACAATTCTGAGACCACCCTAACAGTGCCCTACCTGAGTGAAAATGTTCCATACAAATTCAAAGTACAAGCAAAAACTACTCAAGGCTTTGGACCTGAAAGAGAGGGCATCATCACCATTGAATCTCAAGATGCAGGTATGTATTTTCCACTGATGAGGTTACAAAGTTTTTAAGAGGGATCTCAGAGGAGTTTCTTGGGGATAGACGAAAGGCAGTATTCCTACATACATTAGGAGTCGGCTGGGCAGCATTCCCAATCCATCATCCACCTCCCCCAGAGACAATTCCTGCCACTGTACTTTGGCTGTGCTTTTTCTTACACATACCTGTATGGAAATCCCATCAATATTCTGCTCTTCTCAGGCTTAACAGATTATCTTTACAAAGAAACAAATGTTGAAATCGTCTTGGGAAAATACAAGAAGGTTAGAAGATTGTGTTTTGTGGCGCTCCCATTAAACAAATGAACAAAGCCAGTTTTTTCTTCTGTAGGAGACCCTAAAAGCTCCTGAAGCTGAGGCACCTGCAAGGGAATCACTGGGCCCTGTTCTTTCCTGTGGAACAGGAGATCCACAAAATGCACATCGAATTTGTGGCCTTTTCCCCATTCGGAAGCTGTCTTCAGCCCCATTTAACTTAATGAGAAAGTCTGACTCTAAATTGAAAAATAAATAATAAACATAGAATTCAAAAGCATGGGGCCACAGAAAGCACTACCTCCTCCTCTGCAAAGTGAAACTGACCAGTGAAATTTATAATATCAGGGATTTCCTCACTTTGGGAAAGAGGAGGGAGTGCTTTCCCCAGGGTCCCTAAATTTCCACTGTCATGTCAGACTACTGATATCCCCCTTGGGAAAAAAAATATAAAATAAGCAGCCAGTGCTTGGCTGTGGGAGGCAGTCAGCATGAGGAAACAGATACAATTTATACTGACAGAGGTATTTGCATATGCCAAACCAATGTAAAATAGATTTTGCATCTGTGTTAAAATAAACAGCCCAGTAAAATACCTTGCTTCTGATTTTTTAAAGTGCTTCCTGCCCCCCCAAAAAAATCACACTTCCAATTGCATTGTGTAGCCAGAGTTTTTAAAATTGATTTTATTTACAAAAAAACCCCTATTCAACCGTGGTACTTATATTGCCAGTGTGACCGAGCCCTAAGGTTTGAAAGGTATCTACACAATACAAGTGACTTGGTTGTAATATAAACCAATTGCTAGAGTATTCAAAAAGCTGCGTTGGAAGATAACTTTCTCCTTAAATAGTAGCCTTTTCTCTTTTCTCGCTAACATTTTTTTCTGAGCCCATTTTTAATGCCTTCTGATAGAACAGGGATCAAAGAAAAGCTGAATGTAAAAGAATAATTCCCTGTCTTTCTGGTTCAGGTGCCTTCTCTCAGTTTGGAACACAGCAGTTCACCAGAGAAGAGGTTTTCAATCTCCCTACAGAGTATAGCACACTTACCAGAATCACTCCGTCTTCACTGGATCCTTCTTATGCAGGTAAACAGGTGACCGCATTACCGAAAACTGAAGATAATAGCACAGGTTTGAGACAGACTGATTTGCATCTTATGCAGGTAAACAGGTGACCGCATTACTGAAAACTGGAGAAAATAGCACAGGTTTGAGACACACACACACACACACACACACCGATTGATTACATAACTCAGTGGGAAATGTTATTCAGCTCAGAGTCTGTTCCCTCCACTATCCATAGCTTTTCCTGTCCACCAGAGAATCTCCTACTTTTTAAAATTTAGAATCTTTTTGGATTGATTCAAGTATGTGGTTACTTGAATCAAAGCAGAAAGGGAAGATGAGGCTGGGCATGCACAGATTCAAAACACCTACTCACCTTCATCCTGGCCTCTTCCCTTTTACTTCACTAAGGTATGAGCACGCACATGCACAGTGCATGCTCGCAGCCGCTGATCTTTTCCTCCTTCCAGGAGGAAGCTTTCAATTTTTAATTCCCATCCCCCTCCACAAACATTCAGCACATCAGCATTGCCTTAGTTAACTTTAAAAAAAAGCTTTGCAGAAGTTTTTAATTTTCCAATATCATTAAGTGGCTAAACTGTCTAAGTTATTTAAAGATATTGGGAAATTGAAATTGATAGGAAATTTAAAGCACCAAGTTCCACTTTGATTTGATCCCAGTGATTTCGCATGCTGGAAATGAATGAAAGTGGAGTGATCCTACCCATGCCTTTAAAAGAGCAGCTCTTGAGAGGTAGCCAGAAAGGTCCAGGTACAAACATTCTGGGGATGGACTGATTCACTCTAGCACTTACATTGTCAGATCACGGCCAAGGGTAATGAAACAGCCCATTCTCATAGCAAATCAAACAGTGGGACTAATGCCAGTGTAGTCACCCCCTCTGTCCCTCTAGTAACTACACCATACTGGCTTTCTTTACGCAAAATGGGCCATCTGATTTTGGCACACAGAGGAAATCACACAAGTGCTTGCACCTTCATTGGGGGTGGGGTGGGGGAATCAAACAACGTAAACATTTATTTCCTTTCATGAGACCCTAAATCTGCTGCATGAAGCAACTGGCTCACTTCACCTAATGGTAGAGCTGGCTCTGGTCCTTGCCACTTTGAGTTCTTTAGACAAAAGCAGCCCATAATGCCAGCTCAAGTTCAGAACAGCTCAAACAAGTGGTAGTCTGAAATAGATCATGGTTGTGTTATTTGTACCTGCTAGTGATAACTATTGGTAAGAGAAGTGTTAATGTTAATTTAGATCCATCAGGTTCTGACTAGAGATGTGCATGTTGTACCTGCTAGTGATAACTATTGGTAAGTGAAGTGTTAATGTTAATTTAGATCCATTAGGTTCTAGAGATGTGCACTTTGTATTCATATCCAGAACCAGCCTGATCCACTTAACAGGCTCCTTGGCACGTACGCATCCAGTGGCGACATCAATTGTGGGACGTAGTCCCACCAGTGCTTCCTCATCTCTCTCCGCAGCTGACTGCTCCGCAGACTTGTCTCCCTGCCTCCTCGCTGGAGTGGTCAGCTATGGAGAGAGGTGGGGGAGCCCCAGTAGGACTATGCCTATGATTGGCATGTTGTTGTTGCTGCTAGTGGTAAATGGACCAGGCTGTTTCTGGGGGCAGACTGGACAGCAGTGGCAGCTGTGCTGCCGCACTTCGTATTCATATCCCCTGGATACGAATACAAAGCACACATCTCTAGTTCTGATCCTAAACCCTAAGAAGCATCACAGTTATCAGCTAATGCCGTTAATGAACCTTGCTCCTGGTTGTGCAAAATGGACATGGTCTCTGCAGCTAGCTCTGCACACCTGTATAAAAATGTGGGAGCCAATAATGTAAGTGTTGTTTTTGTCCTTTCTTGTTCCAGATGGTATGGTGATGACCACTCAGCGAGTGGAGAGTGGCAGCACACTCACCAAGCAGGTTACCAAAGAATTTGTCTCCAGAACCATGATGTCGAACAGCAGTGGGACCTTCTCCAGGCAGGCAGAGAGGCAGTTCTATGACGCCTGAGTCAGGAGGAAAGCTGCCAAGGGGACGCTTGGGTTTTGAAAGGGGGTGATTGTCAAGTAGGCCTGTGCTTTGGTCACTTTCCAGGCTGGAGCACCTGGTGCCCACTGCCAGGCACGAGCACTAAAAGCACTGGATGGGGCTTTTGCAATACCAATGGTTGGAAGCTACGTGCAGCCGCGATGGTAACCCAGGATATTACAAGCAGGGATTTTAGCCACATGTTTGGATATCAAGGGCTGTCGGTTACTTTTCTTTGGAGCCAAGCTCCTCCTATTTCTTACTTGGCTTGGCTGCTCTCCCATTTAACTGCACAGAACTGGATTTATTTTTTCAATTCCCATCCTTTGCCATAACTTTTCTGGTTGTGTCATTTATTTTGATCTCTTCCCAGTTGTTCAGGCACATCTCCTCCCTAGCCACATTGTTAGTGCCACCCAGAAATCACTGTCACACTCCATGGCAGGGAAGGGGAGGTGGGTTTTTTTTATGTTTGACATCTTCCTGTAGAGTAACTTTTGCAAAGCAGGGGAGAAAATTGTTTTCAGAATCTTTCCCAATATCTGTGTATAAGCTCCCCTGCTGCTAAGGGTAGTACAGAATGGTAACCAATGAGTACGTTAATGTCCATAACCCTCTGTCATGCTTCATGGTGTAAGGCTGCTTAAAATACTGTATAGTTTGGCTCATACAAATATTCTGTTTGGGGTTGTTGGCTTTCTCTCCCTATCCTTTTGGCGGTCAGTTCCTTTACAGCAGTAAACATTTGACACAGCATTAATAACAAGTGAATGCCATTGCTAGAATAAGCGCTTAAAATGGAGTTTTAGTTCATTTTAAGGAAATATTTTGAGTGCTTCCAAAAAAAGTCTTGAAACTGCCTCACTCATACAATTTTATGATAGATGTTATTATCTTCCATTCATAACCCTCATAGGTCTTCCAGTACCACTTCTTCCATCATTTTTCTTGCCGTAGAAAATCCACTAAAGAGAGACAGGTATAGCTGGATAATGGCTTCTGATTGCCAGTGCTAGGAGAATATTAAGCCAAAATTAACATTATAGTGTAGCGTTTATATTTACTTTATTGGACTATTAATCTTCCTCATTGACCAACCATAGCAAGGTCTGCTCATATTTGTCTGCTCGTCCTGCTTACTCGCCAATGGCAGCACTTTAATTGCAAGCATATTAATTGCGCCTCTTAAGCGTTCACAAATACTCGATCTGAATGTGAGTGCAAATGGAGGGTTCTAGCCTGCTTCTTCACCATCACTCTCTTTACAAGTACTGTAGAGCAAAAGCCTCTCCTACACAAGGCACCTCTCTACAAGGGAGTGGATTCTGGAGAGTCAGAGTTACTGATCCCATGGGAAGAGTCTACATGGAGCAAAACTTTCCCTCTTCAGGTGGTCTCACTCTGTGCGAAGAGAGCATTAGGCAGGGGGCTGGGCTTGAACTCTGCCTGAATAGGGCTCCTCTCATTCAGGGCTTATATAATACAAATACGACATGCTTTTGCACATACATTGTACCAAGGGTAGGAAACCAGATGCAAGTGTTTATGATCACAATTCCCATAACCTCCTACTGAGGCTTCCAGGGGCTTTTATCCAAAACATTCTACAGAATTGCTTCTGGTTACCAGCTCTTGATACATGAATCAGGAGTAACATGGTATTCTCCCAAGGCAGCACAACTGTGAGTATTTAAACACAACCCACACTCCCACTACCTTTTATTGCCTAGGCAGACCCAGTCTGGAGGGCAAAAACAATCCTTGTCCAAAACTAATGGAAGAGACATCAACAGGACTGGGGAGTGCCTATCTAAAGCATCAAAACAGGTAACCATGTGAAACTGGAAGGAGGGGCAAAGCAAGAGTTATGGGGAATCCCAGCTAGAAACCAAAGACGCACCAGACCGCACCTGCCATTATTGCAGCCATTTGATTCTCTGTTGCTAATCCATCATGTTCTTCCTAGAGAAGTGTTTTGCTTCTATATATGTCTTTATGTGTATGCAAATTTAACAAAGGTCAGTTGGCATAATCTCCCAGTCTTTTGTACCAGTATTTTCCCTCCTCGATAAAAGCAATCCTAAGAGAACTCACACACACTGAATTGTCTTAAGGCCCTGATAACCACACTCTGTGTTTTACAGCTTTTGAACAATCTGAATTTCCCACTTCGCATGACTGTGCCCATAAAACAGTGGGTTTCCAATCAGCCTGAAGGTTCCTCATAATGCAAGTGAGGTCTTTTCAGAGACAGCTTGCCCATTAGTGCCAGTCTTCACACACAACAAGGCCCAACTGGCATTGCCAGTGCCACGACTGAACTAAACGTGCACCCTAAAAGATATACCAGACTCACTTCCTTGCTCTGGCAGAGGCTTTGACTTTCCTGAGCAGAGGAGACTAGGTGGAAAGTTTTAAAAGCCACATTTACTACCAATATTAACACAACAGGGACAAGTTTATCTATGTAACCCTTCACTTTCTCTTCTCTTTTGACCAAGGTGCTTGCACTTACCCAGGGCATCTCTAGAGAGGGTAAAAGCAAGCATCACCACTAGTATGGGGATTCTCAATTAAAATGGAAGAAACAGAGCTTGCTTTTATAATTCCAGATTGTGGGTACTGTTTCCTTCTACCTGAGATACCAAGCTGAGTCCCTTGGAATTGCATGTTGGGTGTTACTACGTATTCATTTGCAATGACAGAATGGGTGCATAAAATTCCCTGGACCATTTTTCCAAAGGGAAAGGTTGGAGGAGGGGGACATACATATTGGTGTATGTGAGGGGGGGGAGAGGGAGGGAAGGGGGAGAAACCAAGTTTTTTCATGGCTTCTTTATATCCAACCCTGGATACAGCATTTTACTGGAAAAGGTGACATGAGGCATCGGAACTTACATTACACCCTTGTGTGAAGTCATTTTGCTATAGTGCCTTTCACTCAAGAAGCACCACAGGCCTTACTTAATGTTAACCAAAGAGCCCATTTAAGGTGATGGATGGGCCAGTTTTTAGCAGCACCTGATACTAATGCGGGTTCTAATACAAGTTTTTAAAGGATTGTATTTTCAGTCATGTAATGGGAGAAACAGGATAAAGTATAGATTACATTTTTGTGGCCTATTATGGTTTACAAAGGTTGATGGGATCTAATATACAGTATATGCAGTTGTGAATAATGGAACTGTCTGACAGCTGGTGTTCTGGATCAGATGGCTTTCTATTGCACTTAATAAACATTGCTGTTTATGATCTCAGTTGTTGTTTTTTAATTCCAAGTGTCTAGTGTAACAGCAGCTGTTTGACAAGACTAGGGCACACCACCTAGCAATCTCAGAAAGCTAAACCATGGCTAGCTCTATAGAAGACTGCCCCGTCACAGAGTCCTCTGCTGGTAGGAGCCCAATGCCAGACCAAGTACTGCCCTGAAACCCAATAGTTACATGCTCCAAGATACAATGGAAGACTGGAGTTAGCAGGCAAAAGTTTCAGAGCTACTTTTAATCACAAGCTGCAAATAGAGCAATCCATGGGAAGGGCCTAATTTCTGTGTGTAGGGGGCAGGGGAGTCTTTCTAGCTGGAATGAATGTTAGAAGCTCAAAAGCATGATCCCGATAGCCCAGGCTACATGCACTTTCTGTGCTGAAGATACAACTTTAGCAGCACAGATAGTGTTACCTTTTTTTAATTAAAAAAGATATATATGTGGCAGAAGAACTGACCAGGTAACATGGTGGTTTGGCTTTAGCCATGTGCTGAGTCCCACAAACAGCTGGGCCCATGCTTGAACTTTGCTTCTTCTTGCATTCTATCTTGTGGATGAAATATTCTGTATAATAGGGTTCCACACCAAGGCTTCTTCTTCAGAAACCCTCTCATATTACTTAAAATTTGGTGCAGTGGTGAATTTAAAAGTGAAGGTGCTCAGCCTGACAGTCCTCATGGCCAACCTCCCACACCTGCTAGAAGGCCCAAAATTGCAGCTGGATCAATCCATATTGCAGCTGGATCAATCCATATTGAAGAACAGTCTTTTTGTAAAGATAATGGCTCTTAATTGTTCATTCAAGACTAAACCACCCTCAAATATTTTCAACAATATACTACTGCTGGAAAAATGCATTTCTCTGTCAGTTACTGTGTAGACTGCAAATAAACTCAGAGAGAAAAGGGGGTGTGAGGGGAGACGGCAGAAGATGGCACCATCCTTGCCATTCCAGAATTCCTGTAGCTTTGACCCGACAAGCCCTGGCTGCACTACAGCTCTGCTTTGCAGTGAAGAGTCCTTCTACTTCAAGGTGAAGGAGAAATTCCAAATGAGTAGGTCAGAATCATCAACTGCTCATTAAGCCATTTAACAGAATCATTTTTAGTGCAGTGTTAATAATCTTTGGTGCCTCCATAGGCCAAGCTAATAGCAGAAAAAAACTTGAGGTGTCCAAGAGGAAAACAGTTTATCCCTCCGTGAAGTAAGTGGGGTGGGGAGTGACCAAGACCCCCCCCTCCTGCCTAAGGATGACAGGCACACACCACATTGGTGTGTAAAGATAAAGTGTTCCCATGGTTCTAGGGACTTGGCCTTTGTGATTTGGCAACTGCCAAACTTCAGTTCCTGACAGCTAGGACAGAAAAGGGGAAGGTCCCCAGTGGAAAAAAGGCATCTCTGAGCTATCCAGTCAGTTAAATTGGTCCAAATACTCCTTTCCAGAAATGCTTCCTAAAAATCGTCGTAAGAAAAGCTACCTTGGCAAAATGCAAGTGCCTGTTTGGTGACGCTTGCTGAACTTGTCAGGCGTTGCCCACGTGGTTGCCCTGCAGATCTGGGCCAAGGAAGCCTCCTCACTTTTAAGAGGCCACTGAGGTTACTGCAGTGGGCTGTGGTGCCAAATCGGACTGGTGAAATGTTGCGATCCATGGGGTTGTAGGCTTTCCGTGACTTAGACAAGGTAGACCTAGAAGCCTTTTGTTTGGAGTGCAAAGGATTTAAAAGTTGCAGCTCTGCCGTGTGTCCGAGCTAGGATGCTAGTGTACTATGCGCACCAGTTTAGACACACTCTCTGTTGACTGGAGGGCTGTAGGTAGAAGCTCACGAGAGGAGTAAAGTGCTGGAGCCTTTGAAAGAGAGATGAACCTTCGGATAAAGGCAGAGAGTTTAACCAAGTCATCCCCTCCTGGCAGCAAAGGAGAAATTCACAGTTTCTGGTCGCCACCAAAGTCCTGACACCAGCAGGACTTTGAGGGAGAGCAGTCGCAGGAACACTGGCTTGATAGATTTGAGAGGAGACTCTATTAGTGATGTGATGTTTCTGTGCAGGTTCCAGGATGGGATGCACTGGACCAAGGGTGGGTTCAGCAGTGCAGACCCTCTTATGCAAGAATGTGATGCAAAAGCTTGGACAATACAGAAAAGAGGGTAGAGGTTTGCCCGCAGGAGTGTATTTGGTTCTGGGCTGGTGCTGAGATCTGCTTAGGAGAAAAGGAAGAGTTCTTTGTGCTTGCATGCTGCCTGTCTTGCCTCCTGAGCCAACATTGCCTGAGGAAGGCCTTCTAAGTCGCCTCACAGCTGCAGAGCACATGCTGCTTCCTGGAAGAGACTGAGGGCTAAACTAAAGTATGTTTAACACATTTTTAAAAGACGTGTTCCCTCAGATGGAGAAAGACTTGTCAGTTTTCCTTACCTTCATAGCTTGCATCTAGCATGTTTTGTTTCAACCCTGTGATCTAACTAGGGCTAGGCAATGGAAGCCAACATGGGCTTAATCTGCAAATTTGATCGCTGAGGCATGCATCTCTGAAGAAGGCAAGTCAGTTTTAAGGAATACCCACCTTCCTTAATGTGTAATCTATCCTTAAGATTTTAATCACCACTTCTTGATAGCTTAGGGCACAATGTGCTGCTTCCCCAACAGCCAGGCAAATAAGTGAAGCTTCTTGACTATTGCTTTACTATTTATTATTGACTCAAGGTATTTATTTCCCTTTTTTCTGTCCAAGAGGGCTCCCAAAGCAGTGTACGATAAATCATGCCTTTACAGTCTTCAGGAGAAGAATCATTGCTTCTACTTGTGATGAAGAACCAAAAAAAAAAGTTCTGATTTTGGTTCATGAAATAGTAAAGCAGGCAGGAGCAGCAGGTAAGCCGTGAGCCACTGATTCACCTTCTTCAGGGACTGAGAGACCACTTTTTTCCACTGTTACATAAATTAACAGAATATGATGGAAATTTGAAAAGGTGCATTGTAAAGAGATGAGGAATATGGAAGGATCCCTCTATATCTCCCCCCAACACCTTTTAAATTGAGTTGTAAAGAAAAAGGAAAGAATTTGAAGTTTTAAAGCCAGGGTGGGGGATCTTTAACCCTCCAGATATTTTGGCCTGCAACTTCTGTCATCTCCCACCCAGTGTTGTCAACCATAAAGGACTGTGAGAGTGGCAGGCAAGAACATCAAGGTCTAGGTTTCTGTGCACATGTTACAAAGCAGAATTTTACTTTAATTGGAAAAGAAGTTGCTGAGCCAAGAGGCACAGAAGAATCGCAGAGAGCTATCTCCATTCTGGCCAAAGGAAAGATTAAAATGGTGGTGGAGCCAAAGGTTACCCATGTTTACTGGACTAAGAACAAGGGTCATGGGATCCCAGCCTACCAGGTGGTGACAGGCCCAAAACTCATGGTTTTGGTTTCCTGCTTCCTAGCAAATTTTTTACAATCCCTTTTAGCTGAGAAATTTGGTTAGTAGTAGTATTTCCTTTATGTCAGGAACCAGAAATGGTAATGAGATGACTACAAACCACTATTGTCATGTAGTGCGATCATCAACTTTTCCATGAATATCTGCCTCTTTTCTGAAAAATACCACAGTAAAATAGGCCTTCTCTGGCAGAAAGTGGAAAGCAGATCCTGTCAGACTGCTATATAAAAACAGAAAGAAATTAATGTTTCATCAGTTGTGCTGATTTTTCTTTCAAAAATGACACAGATTAAAGATTATTTCCTTTTGTATAAAAAAAGTTGAAGTCTTTGTTCCAAGAGCTGAAAAATCAAATAAGCTGGCTCAGATCTTTGTGCCTTCCCTTCTCCCTCATAAACAGAGCAGAGGCAAATCTTTGTAGAGAGTGGAAGTCCTTCTCAAGGCAGGAGATGAACTTTAGCTCCATCAGATGGTTTTGTAAAATAAAAAGTTGCTGTCCCACTGTATTTTTCCTAGTGGGGAAAAGAATCATTAGGATTTGGAGGCATCTGGATAAATAAACAATGTTGAACATATTCAAGAAACAAATTTCCAAGCTCAGAAACCCGTATGATCAGGATTAGACATGGGGATGAATTAAAAAGATGAATTGCAAAAATCATGAAATATCACTGATTTGTCTGCTTCCATTTACAGCCAATGGTTATGCCAGACACTGGAGTCCAAAACATCCAGCCTCCCAAATTTCCCTCACCCAAGTCTAAATACTGGAACTACCCCACACAGACACACCCCATGTCAGAACAAATATGGGGAAAGAATCCAGGCAAAGCTTAACCTAGTAAAAGCTATATAAGGCATAACAAACTAAGGTAGATTGGGTTCTCTGGGTAGATCTCGGGGTCACTTGCAGTAGACCTGACAGGGTTTTCTAACTCAACAACAGTAGCACTATCACCTGACAGTTAAAGATTACTGAAATGAAGATAGTTTTGAGAATAGCCCAGAATGAATACTATCGTGAACTTGCCTCTGTTGCTGAAATATGCCTTTCTGGACTTGTCATGTGGTCAGAGGCACTCTCTCCTTCCTGCTCAGCTTATCTCTATCCCCTGAGCCCCTTTTCTATAACTGGTCCCAAATGGCAGATCTCAGGGTTCCAGTTAAAAAAAAAAAGGGGGGGGAGTAGATCTACCAAGCAGCAAGTCTGTGTTTCCCTGCCAAGTACTTCTTTGACCATTATCAGCACATTCCCCCCACCTACCTTGATGTGTTTTAGAACGTCCGCAGCTGCTCTAGATTCCAGTAGAGTAACGGTGCAACCTCCAAACCCTCCACCAGTCATTCTGCTGCCATAAACGCCAGGGATCTCCATGGCAGCAGAAACCAGCTCATCTAATTCCGGACAGCTTACTTCGTAGTCATCCCTGGGGAGTGGAGAGGAACAGGGATTCACCCCTGGGTATGAAGGCCATAACTGGCAAGCAAAAGTGAGTGATGATTTGTTTCAGCCAAAGCTAGGCCATCTTTAGGAACCTCAATACCTCAGAATCAAAATACGCCAGCAATGAAGCACCGTTACACAAGCGGCAACATTCCCGGGATGTATTAACAGATGCTGCATACAAGAGATGCAATGGCAGCAGTTATCAACTGTTTGCCAGCAATAGGTCCAATTGAGTTACTATTATTATGCTTCTGTGATCGCTGACTTTTTAATTAACCATACAAAGCATATAAGATTGTTCTGCCCAAGTCCTGTCCTCCCTCCAAGCAAGGAAAAATGTGCCTTTAAAACCTGGGTAAAGGATCTTTGGCCCTCCAGATGTTCTGGACCATAAGTAAGTTTCATCATCTCTTACCAACCATGCTGGCTGGAGCTTCTGAGAACTGAAATCTAAACCACTTAGGGAGCCAGACGTCCCTCACTCCCAATCTACTAGAATTCCCTATGGGCACTGAGCATACACGCCACTGAGAAACCGAAGCCACTATGGCTTGCAAGCATGTATACACAGAGCAAACTGTATGCAAGTAGGGCTGTTGCACAAAACAACTTACATACTGAAATCCAGAGTGATGTATGGAAAAAAAATCATCTGATTCTCTAGCCTTATTTTTAAAACATAGAATACAAAGGGGAAAAAGACCCTCTGGGGCGTCAGCTCACCGTAAGGAATTGTGACTCTCCACCATCAGCTGCCCAAATCTCCGATAGTCCCTAGACTGCAGTGCCTCGGCTGCCCTGAGAGTGCGTTCTATCTCCCCAATGACATGCCTGGCTCGCCTGTAGACCTCCTCACTCAAGCGGCCCTTCGCATCTAGGGAGAAAAAGCAACATTCAGTGGGGCAAGCAAGCACCATTGTCCAACCACAGCCTGAGAACAGGGCAAGTTCAGCTCTTGGATGTTCTTGGACTACAAATCACATCACCGCTCCCAATTGTCTACGTTGGCTACAGCAGATGGGAGCTGCCATCCAGCAACTTCTGAAGGGTCTCCGTTGGCCACTCCTACTTTGGAAAAAGCTGTGGTGGGATCTTAAATCTGGAACTTTCGGTATGATGATGATCCCAAGACGAGAGTAGTCCTTATCCCAGTCCTATCCCACTTGCCCAGACAGCAAAAGGCTATATTTTAAGGAGTGCAGAAAGCAAGAGGCAGAAACTTGTCTGCCATCTTTTCTGAACAGTATTTACCCTCCAAGTCTGCCATACTGGCTTCTCTGAGGCTCACTTTGCCAAGGCCTTTCGCTGCCTCTTCACACTGGCGCCGACGTGTGGGGTACTCACTGCCCGTCAAGATGTGCCGTACGTTGGAGTCGATGACCAAAACCGCAACATTGGAGTCAGTCCAGGGCACCAGACGCACCTCCAGTGACCTGGAATCACAAGTGGACAGGAAGCAAAGATACAAGGCTTTCGCACCTTAAAGCTTCATCTGAGATGTTGAAGTCTGTCGGGACATTTCATCCTTACATAGTTTCAGATGCTCTATGAAGATGCTTTTGCTCTTTAGTTCTCTACAAAGGAAAAGAGTTCAGACAACCCTTCCACTTGGATATAGCTCTAAATTTGCCCCTAATTCCAGATGTCATCATCAAAATCAGAGCCTCTTTTAAGGACCTGTCTGAAGCCAGGTTCACATCAATTAAGGCAAATAGTTAACATCCAGGTAAGTTTTCTTACGGTGCAATCCAGATGCACCATTTGAAACACAGAAGTATTTAAAGCAGGCTTGTCCAACCTGCGGCCCGAGGGCCGCATGCGGCCCAGGTCGGCTCATAATGTGGCCCAGTGCAATTTTTTATTTTTAAAGAAATTCCAAAGTTTCAAGTTATACTGCCGGCGCTTGCGGCCGGAATGCAGTTGAGGCATGTCACAACAGTAGAGGGGGGGAGGGAAGGAAGGAAGGAGTGGGA